GATTTATGGCGCTGGGCGTTCGGGCTATTGATCCACACGCGGTGGCCGCGCATGGCAAACGTCCATGACGGCACCTTGAAAGGTGGCCGCGGTGGAGCCATAGGGATCAACGGCGACAAGCCACCGCTGTTGACGCTGTCATCCGAAGACTCGTCGTAGTTTGGTGTCATTGTCACCGGTGTATGAGATTTCTTGATGGTGCTCATATTTGGAGTTGACTGAGAAACTGCATCTGGTTTTGCCCCGGTCTTGTGTGGAGCTGCCGGCGGCGGCGGAACTGGCCGCGGAGCAGAAAGAGCTTCCCTTGGCTTGCCCCTTTTGGATGGGAACAAAGTGCGGAACACGGACGGAGGCGCCGTGGCCGGCTGGTGGGAAGAGGACGGCGGTAGCTGGGAGTCTAGGAGTGACTCGAAGTTCTCGATGCTTACTTGGCTCTCTTTCTTCTTCTCCTTCTTCATCTTTAGCGAGCTCGAGAACTCCTTGATCGCCGGCCCACCTCTCTTTTTCCCACTCTTCTCAGCGGGCGGTGGCGGCAGAGGTGGCGGAGGCACCCGCGGTGCCGCTGGCAGTTTGCCAGCCTCATCCTTAGGCTTGTGTGCCATAGCCTGATATGTCCTCTTCGCCTCCCGTTTTCTTTGAGCCGCCTGCTCCCCCGGCGGAGGGATGACTGGAGCTTCCATTACCTTGACTACGTATTCGATCCCAAGGTCGCAGCCGTCACAGCACCCGCACGGTGTTGTCGGGTTGGACAATGACGACTTCTGCGTGTCCGGCCTCGGGTACAAACCCGACGACCCGCCGTGATTGGACCTGCTCAGGAACCGGCAGGCGATAGGGAAGAGGACGAGGGCGAGGATGAGAGAGTCCCAGCTCTTCTTGACGGCGGGGGGGTTGGAAGATCTGAGAAGTGAGGTTGAGGAAGGACGGGAAGACGAACAAGGCGAAGGCGAGGGAGGCAGCAAGAAAGAGCAGGAGGACGTTGGAGCTGGGGTGGACGGTGGACAGGTCGCCGCGGCTCCGCCGCAGGTTGCCAGAGTTGTTGAGCCAGAACGGTAGCATGGTTGCTAAATATTCTTCCATGTTCGTTGTTGAGCTGGTTTTCCTTTGGGCCTAGAGGGTATATAAAAAAGGGTAGGGCATATAAAAAACTGCAAATGCATCACAAATTTTAAAAGTTGTCTTAAAAGATAAATTATGTTCTAAAACTTTTAAAAAATACAATTAAGTTCTAAAATTTATCGAGTTGATATAATTAGAGTCCATCGAATTTTTTTTAGTTGGAATAAGTCCAGGATTAACTCCGTCTAATTTGTCTAACTGAAATTACTGATGCGTCTATTTTTATTATTTTCTTAAAACACGTGAGGCCCACGAAGTGTTTCATCAGATAAATTTTAAAATATAAAATGAAGGAAGGAAAAACAAATGATAGTAATGGAAAAACCTACCCAGTCACAAACGGAATCAGAATTCATTCGTCTTGGTTGTTCTTTTATTCTATGTCTTTCTTGCTCCGCAAGTATTTTTTTCATCTTCCGGGAAAATCTAGCGCAAGGGGAAAGGGAAGAAAAAGAATTCAAAGCGACTATCATCTTCCTCACACCAGCAGCGCTTCAGGCCCTTGCAGTCACTGTGCGCCTCGGTCGTCACCGACGTCCAGCGCCCTCACCGACGAAGCCCTCATTACCGGCAAGCCCCCCTTCTCTCTCTCTCTCTATCGGACATGAATGCTCGACCTCGAGCTCAAGGCGGGCCGAGGTGTACACTTTGAATCTAGGGCTCGCGGGCTGGCACCGCGAAGAATGAACGTTCTTTGACATCGGGTGGAGAATGGTGCCACTTGAAAATGGAGTCCACCATCTCCAGCAAAGCTCACCATTCTTTTTAATTTTTTTTTTGGAATTCTCCGCGTTCAAAGCGTAAGAATACATTCGTTGCCTTTCCCAAATTCCATGCCTTTTCTTCCATCCCAAATTGTCTCTCAGTGATTTGCCCGATTAAAAAAATTAACTAAGAAAAATCACCGTAGGAAAGAGAATTTAATAATATATAAAGCCACGTCATCATATTCATTAGTTAAATTGGATGGAGTTAACGAAATGACTTGATTGTACTAATTTCACAAATTTCGGTACTTGATTGCACTTTTTGTAAGTTTTAAGACTCGATTATACTTTCGTAACAAATTTTAGTAATTCCGGTGCACTTATACTTATAATGATGATGATGATGATGATGATGATGATAGTGATGTATAAGATTAATAGATATGTAATCAACTTCTGTTGAAACTCGTGTAGTGTAGCAGTGGACGTGGCATGATCCCGAGTTCGCGATCACTTGAAGAATGACAGCGAAACAAAAGGCGACTCATGTCTTTGTCATGATCTTGAGGTTTCCCGTGAACAAAGGATTGTGTTCGATCCAAGAAGACCGACCAAGACGCTTAGGGTTTCTGGAGTCTTCTAGAATATTCTCAGGGGCGAGCCATATAGTAAATGTACCGAGTTTTAGAGTATTCTCGACATAAATGCCGGTAGTTGATAGATGGGGAGATGCAATCTTTTCCGTTAGATCGAAATGCAATCAACAATTGTAATGAGAGGGACTCTTGTACAAATAGGAGTACCCTCCCTTCATTTGTATGCATCTAAACACTTGAACAATAGAAAATATTCTCTCCCAGAGCTTTTCTCTCTAAATACTTTCTCTCTCTACGATTCATGTGGGCAAGTGATCAATCCTTGGGAAAAAGCTTACGTTAGCGTTCCACCGATCCAAGAAAACCTAAGCTGCCGCACGGTTTCGATCCCAAACAATAGGCCTGTGACATCTTGCTCTGTTTTAACCACTGTCTGAGTGTCCAAATAATCGTAGTAAACCATGTGCATAGCTTAGGCCTTTCCAGGTTTGACTTAAACAAAGACTAGACTTGGATATTTTTTTACCTTGTAAATAAATTTTCATAAAATTGCTTTTATCATCCCAAAAAATAAAGAGATAAGTGTCAATATGACCTGATCATGGACCCGATAGCTCATGAGCCCTTCCAAGCTCGCCCGACGAGCCTCATGTGCTTGAATGACACTTTTGGATAAGCTTAAACAAGGCTACTTAGTTACAACGCTTCACCATAACGAGAAAATATTAGGTGAGTTGAACACTCCAGGTAAGCTATACAACACACCATTCGGCTGATGACACGTGGTGGACAGGGCCTACCGGTCAGATTTTGTAGTCCCCCGTTACTCCACTTTCAGATCTTCTCTCTCCTTTGTTACTCTCTTTCTTCTTTCACTGTTTTCTTCTGTTTCTTTTTGCGTTTCGAGACCATGGACAGCACTCGCGCTTGAATTGCAGTGTCACCAGCCAACCATTGACGACCGCTCACGAGCACACCGACGCTCATCCATGGCCGTTGTCGGCGTCGTTCGGGCATGCTATTGACCCCCTTGGGTATCCATCTTTCCCATCCACCATGGACGACGCTCGCGGCCAGCCATGGACGACGCTCATCCATGTCCATGGTCGTCGTTGGCATCGAGCAACGCCGGACGGGACGGCTCGATCTGGAAGTTTGGTTAGATCTGGAGCCATGGCCGCTTGTCACTCGCGGCCACAATGCAGAGATTATGGCCCCAAAAATAAACGAAGAAACAAAAATGAAGCTCTGCTTCTCCAATTCAGTCTTAATTCTTTCAATTGCGTCAATTTAATCACAAATCTTTTTATCGATTTGTCAATACGGTTATTCCGATCTTGGTTCGCAATCGCTGACGTGGACAAATTTTACAAATTTTTTATTGTTTAAAATTTTTATGAATATTTTATTATTATTATTATTTTTAACTCTAGGCCGACACGGGGTAGCTGGCGACCTTGCTAGAAAAAGTAAAAAAAAAAGAGAAAATAATGCAGAAGGAAAAAAAGAAAACAAAAAAAATTGTCCATGTCAGCTCGGCCATGCCACATAGGACAGTTTATGTCCATGTCAGCGATGCCGGCTAGATTTGATCAAAAAGACAACATTAGCAAATCGTCAAAAGGTTTATGGTTAAATTGGTACAATCGAAAGGTTTAGAATTGAATTGATCGCCGTATAATAAGAGCGAAACGACTTAATATGACCGACGAAAAGAGCGAGAGAACGCGCAGCCGAGAGCAATGTGTGTGCGGCGAGAGGTTGGTTCCTTGCGCCGTCGATGGTAAAGAAAAACCGGGTCTCGTGAATCTGTTCGTCTTTTTCCTTTTTCTGTTTTTTTCCTTTTTTTTCTTTTCTTCTCTCTTCCCTTTGCCGTCACCGGCGGAGGGAAGCTAGCGAGGGCTGCCCTCGCCCGATGCCAGATTCGGCGAGGGCGACCCTTGCCGGCGTGGAGCAAGGGTTGCCCTCGCCCGCCCAGACGATAGCGACTCTTGCCGGATTTGGCGAGGGAGACTTCGCCCGACTCAGGCGAGGGCTGCCCTCGCCGGATCTGGCGAGGGAGACCCTCGCTGGCGTCGGGAAAGGGCAGCCCTCGCTTGAGTCAGGCGAAGTCGCCCTCGCCAGATCCGGCGAGGGTCGCCCAATGCAGGCGAGGGCAGCTGGCCACGATGGAGGGAAGAGAGAAGAAAAGAAAAAGAAAAGGAAAAAAAAAACAGAAAAAGAAAAAAGACGAAAATGCCCATGGATCAAAGTATTGTGGGGTAAATGTGTCACAAGAGGCATAGTTTTGGGTTTTTCGCGTCACAAAAAAAAGTTCAGGATAAATCTGTCACAAGTGGCATAGTTTGAGATTTTTTATATCACAAAAAAAAGTTTAAGGTAAATTTGTCATAAGTGATATAGTTTTGAGTTTTTGGTGTATTTTCCCATGATTTTAAGGAAGTGCACGAGGCGAGATCCACTCGATCTCGATAAGTGCAGTTGGGCTGCTTGGTTCCAAATTTGCGTTGTTTAGGCCCAATGGACAGCCCATAATAAGCCCATACCATTTGAGCCCCTAAAATATCAAGGCGAGTTAGCGAAAGCGAAAGAGCAATTCATTCTCTCCTCGACCTGGTTTCGCTCGCCTCCGCCCATGGACGGCGCCGGAGCTTCACCCGCCAAGCCCAAGAAGCGGCCGAGGGAGAAGCTCAACGCCACCATCCATGTCGTCCCCGACAACCCCGACAAGATCGCTCCCCTCGTCGCCTACTTCCCCTCCGGCTTCGACCCTTCCTCCCGCGGCGGCGGCGGCGGCGGCGGCTCCGCGGAGCCCGGCGTTACGGTCTACCGCCACAGCAGCAGCAAGTGGTCCAAGAGGCTCCAGCTCGTCGTCAGGCCGCCGGAGTCCGACGTCGCCTTCGTCGGCTCCAGCGTCAGCGGCGAGCGCACGTCGACGGAGTACTGCTCTTACCGCCTCGGCGTGCTCGATAAGGAGTCACGGACGCTCAAGATCGTCCCTATAGCCCGTGATAAGGTGTGTGCTGAAGAATCTTTTTAGGGTTTTTGCGTTGTGGGTATTCGTTTCTTGTTTTGTTGATGCGATTCGGTCCGGTGCCATTGTTTGTCGATATGGTTCGGTTGGTTAGAAAGGGATATGGAGTAGAAGTTATGCTTACTGGAAGCAATTTGAGGTCAATTTGTTTCAAACAGATGGGAAAAATCGTAAGCGGTCTTTTTCATCTAGAAAACAGGTTAGAGAAACGTTTCGCTCTGTTTGGCCCAGAGCAAGATGGGTTTCTCTTGTAAAGAAAAGTTGGAACTTTGGAGGGTGGTTCTCGTTGCCCAAGGTTCAGCTGAGTAGACTGAATGGTGGCAGTGGAGAAACAATGCCGACCAGTTTTGTAGCGTGTCAGCGCCACTGAGTCAGCTATCAATCAAGCCAGAGATGATTACAAGATGAACAGTTTGACGCACAATGGATGTGGCTAAATGGTGGTGATGGCGGTTGCCGATCGGCTGTCGTTTTCAATTTTATCGAGAGTACATTTTCAGTTTGCATCTGTTATGTTGCAAAACATTGGAAAATGAGGGAAATATTTCCTTGCAGTTACTTTACTGTGTTACAAACCAACGTTGCTTCTCAGGAAATTTGTTTAACGTATCAATAACTTTGATCTAAGCATGTCAGAGGTAGAGTCGCTTGGAGATTTAACAGCTCACATGGTCACAGAACACCATTTGTACTTAAAGATACTCATCTAGCACTCCTTTACATGTTGCTTCTGATATTGCCTATTGTGATTTACGTCCTTCAAATTTTATGTGTTACTGCTGCAGATATTCAGATTGGAACCAAGAGTGGGATCAGATATTGCTGACGAAGAGCACTCTGAGTTGGTTAGGGGAGAGCTTTCAGCAAAAGAGAAGGCTGATAAAGTTAGAGAACTTAATTTACTCTTCGGAACTAAGCGGTCGGTAACACAGGTATGATCCATATTAACCTGGGCATTGGATCATGTTATGCGTTGTGCTATTGATTGTGGAAGATAATTTTGCTGAGCTTCTTTCCATTAAGATTGGGTCATGCTGATGTTATCTGGAAGCTCTTTGTTCGTGAAAGATAAAGGGCTTTCATTTGTTCCTCTGAGCATTCATAGTTAAAAGTCGATATTTTTGCGGGATTGCTTATTTGTAACGGTTTATGCTTAGGCATGTGTGCATCCGCGTAGGAGTTAATCGGCATGTCTTGCACAAACTAAGCATGTGCGCATGCTTTATGTCTCTCTGTCCATGCTCACATGTGCCTGTTTGTGCGTCTTTCTATGTGCGCTTGTGCATTTTCACATCCTTATGCTTGCGAATGTGTTCGTGTGCGTGGGTATGTGTTCATTCATAAAGTTTTGCTGCATACTGTTAATCCATCGGAGCCTTGGAAATTACAAGTTTATAATGCCATTTTGTGTGATTGCCTTTTGTCTGTTGCATTTATCATTCGTAAGTACAGTGAAGCCATGGGCTGAGCCAAATTGTGGAGGAAGATAAAGTTTGAGTAGCCCTGTAGTGGGAATTTGGAGAATCTCATGGTTGATAGTAGTTGCTTGGACCTTTGTGGAAGTATATGCAACGTGAAAAGTTTTTTTTATGAGTGTAGGATAAAAAAATGCAATCTCTTAGGCAAGAAGATGATCCCAACTCCCAAGAGGATTTGGATAGGAAGATTAAGGAAGTCGCCATGTACAAGGAAGATCATGAAAGTACGGATTCGCATCCTGCTCACAATATACCCCCTTACAACTCATCTGCCACTGTTCCAAAGGATGCCTATCCCATAGAGAAAATTATTCTCAAAGGAGAGTGGGATTACATCAAGGATATTCTTCAACTTCTTGAAGCAGGAGAGAAAGTATCACCTGATGCTTACCCAACGTTTGTTTGCAATAGGATCCATAAACTGGGGGAGACACAGGTGATTGCCTTTGCATTTTTTCACGAGTATTTCTATAATTGATATTATTTCCCATCGGTTCTTGTGGAAAATAGTTATATTAGGTATTGACCAAACTGGGAAGATTACAATGCTCCATTTGGTTGTGAGACAAAATCATGCTGATGGCTTCCTCGTACAAAAAACCAATGATTTTCCTTCTATAATAGCCATCTATAAGTTGTATTTCTACATTTTGATTTTTCCATATGACAGTGCATGCCTACCTAATGCATCACAATCATTTTGTCAGACACAATGTCATTAAAATGAAAAGGAAACTTGCAGTTGCAATTGCAATTGCAATGAAGGGATACCTATTTCTTAGTCCGAGTAAATGGTGTTGCAAAGTTAATTTAGTGCATATATACTTCTAAATCTGCGTGAAGTCAATTTGTTTTTCTTTAATGATTGGATTTAATCTGAGTTAACGAAAATAGAAAAATACAGCTGCAGGCAGTGGAGGAAGTGTCTGTTAATTGACTCTGGCAAGCAAATTCATAAAGCATTTTCTACCTGCTGTAGCTTTTATATGTTCACTTTAAGATTGCTGTGGCGAAATTCTTTGTTTAATGTTTGTAATGGTTTTCTTTGGTCAATGTCTGATTAAATAGAATTTGCTTGTAACATCTTGGAATTGCATAACTATGTGAGCAACTCTGACTGGCAGGAGATTCTAATCCTCAATTTGTTAATTGAACATGCATTCTTGAATTCTCAGACTTTCTTTTATCTCTCAAGTTTCTTTCCTTTTTCAATTATATATAGCTTTTGAATGTTTCACGACACCTGCAGGATGAGATGGAGAAGGAAACGCTTGGTTGCATATTCTCGTATATCAACCACCTTATTAAGTTCAAAGATCAGCATTCCGCTGACGGTGCGTCCTCTGCGAAGAACCACAAGACCCCTAGCATATTGCGTCAGAAATTCTCGACCATGTTCTCCAACACTGAATCTAAATGGCTACCTTCTGAGAAAATCGATCTTCTAATCAGCTATGTCTTAGTGCTCACTTTGATTGCGGATGATTTCCGGACAGACCCAACAGATGTCTCCAAGGATCTGAGGATGAGTTTAGTAACCATAAGACAGCATTTCGAGCATTTAGGATGCAAGTTTTCGCGAGAGAATAACGTGTTGTATGCCAAGCTTCCCGTGCCTCTTAAGTTCCCGGAGTTGAGAAGGAGGCGCCGAAGGTAGATAGATGAATGGACTTTCTTGTCCTTGCAACAGTTTGTTAAGAGAGCCGCTTCCCATCAAGAAGTGGAATTCTTGGCGGCAGTTTCAGTTTGTATCTCTTTCTTTTAGCTTTCAGCATCCTATGGTGATGGAACATGTTTATGCTTCATCGGAAGCGACTCCACAGCGAGTCTGCTTAATCAAGTTTGCATGATGTACTTTGAAAATGTGAGAACGCCTGCATTGGAAGCAATTTTGTTGCAAGCACCATTCTTTTGATATGGTTTTGGCTCCTTTGCATCTATCTGAAGGTTAGTTAACTACGAATTTTGTTCTCGTCATAGTGTGCACTGACGCCTCAACGAAGCAACTCACGCGGACGCTTGTGTACTCTCTTCTTAGTGTGAGAACAGATACTACTATTGGTCGCATATGAGGAGAGAGTATATCGGGTGAAAATTTCAACGGTATATCTGGTCAATTAATTTGCTCGTGATATGCATCTTAATCAATTTTGATTTGAATTTTGAAGACTCACGTTCCATTGACTTGCTACTGTCACGCGGAATTCATTCCCAGATTCGAGGCCAAGAGGATTGGAGACGATGCGATTTTAGTTTCTAGCAAATTATAGTCAATTCTTGCCCTTTCTCTGACCTGTTTTGTAAGGTGAAGTATGGAATCCTGCCAATCATTCAGCAACAGCTTTGTATGTGGGAAGAGCAAAGAGAAGCTAGCAGCAACAGCAGTAGAACAAGCTGTTGCCAGGGCAACAGGCTCAAGACTAGCAGCTGAAGCATTTCCATCATCACGAATGACGCTTGTATTTGCTTTTGCTCGGATCTCATCGTCAACTCTTCGAAAGCAATTATTGATGAAGGTTCTTTCCCACAATGCTTGCCCAGCGTCCCAACACTTTCATCCTTGACCTGTCCCATTCCTTTGGCCAAAGCCACATGGATCTGCTCCCGGTAGTAGTTAGCAGCCGACCGATGACAGATATGCTTATTAATTTGGAATATGTGAAATCTTAATCAAGATATAAGTTTTGCTACAAGCCATGAGCAAGGAAAACACAAAATTCATAAGTCTAACATCCATCATACAGAACTCAAACAAACTCAGGACATTCGTCAGTACAAAGCCGAGCAATGGTTCTAACAGAATCTTCAGCTAGCCGCTTTTGAAAAGGCAAGCGCGGAGGCTGTTTGGCTGGTGGAAAGTTTTTAAAAAATGTGTATATTCTTTTTTATTTGGACATGAAAACAAGCACGGAAACTTGGTCGATCCCATATTTTGAAGAGAAAACGATGGCGCACCTCTCTCTCACGAAGCTGTCATCTGTCTTTTGATGCTTCAAAAGCATGTAGCTTCCTGAAGCACTAAAAGGAAAAGAAAAAGGAGTGGCACATGCACAGTACAGGAAGGGAATCAGTTTGGTTTATGTTTGTTGGTGTAAGAGAACACTGCTGCACGACATATCAATGCGTAGGACCAGTTGACGTATCATATTTGATCTTTGCCCTAATCTGAGCAATTAATGTTTGCCAATCTAGTTCTAAAACACTCTCCCCTTTTCTCCTTTAGCATGATTCCCGGGAGCTGAACGGGACTCTCTCAATCAGAACTTTCTATCTCCCAGTACCTCCTTGCTGGATTCTGACATGACCTCATCCTCCTCAGTGTCTTGAAAAAAACTGTCATTAGGAGCCTTATCCTTAGTTGGTGGACTCTTGAGATTTGGGCAATCGCATATAATTACATTCTCCAGTTTCAGGCCAATGTGTAGGCCACTCGCTATGCTAACCAGTTTGGGTAACGAGATAAGGGCTATCCTCTTCAACTCCGGGAGAAAGTGAGCATCCTCGTACCTAGAAGAATCTTTGCAGCTCACTAAAGCTCAAGATGACTGGGGAGTCCTCGACTGTGAGCTCTTCCAAATTGTGCAGGTTTTCCAGTAGGTTGATCGGGCAGTCCTTGACGTCCTCATTGGTGTTGGCATATCGCGATGCCCCCATCGCTATCCTAGAGATCTACCGAGGACCATAACTTATCCGAGCCCTCTTGCCTTGAAGATCAATCCTCACTTTTGTTAGATCGGTTTCGGGCCTAGTTTTCCCTTAGACCACACTTACTAGAGGGGACTTTACATTGACTGTATTTATAATCACACGACCTATCCATATTGGCTAAGCTATTGAGAGGAGTACTCGAGATAGTTACCATTTTGAGATCGGTCTTACTTATAAATTACTTCACAAGACTTCTCTTGTTTGACAAAGACTTGAGGTGTCACAATTACACTCTCTCGCCAGTAGGCAGTGCCTATATACTTTGGCATCTAATCAATTCATTTTCCTTCTATGATTTTATGCTAGCTAATTCATCAACATTTATTGCTGGACCTCGATCTGAATGGTCTGAACTCCAAAATGAAAAGCAATGCGAGTTCAGTGGAGGAATGTTAGGTGACTAAAGCAAACATTCTTAATCGAGTAGTTTCCGCCTGCTGTAACTTTAAAATGTTCAGTTCAAGACTGCTGTGGCCATAGTCTGTGTCTTATGTTTGTACTTGTTTTCTTTGGTCATTTATCTGATTGATTAGCATTTGCTTATCTGAAGAGGACTAAACATCTTAAATTGATTACTGTGTAAGTGAGCAAATTTTGACTGGCAGGAGATGCTAATCCTCAATTTGTTCTGAACATACATTCTGCGGCTGGTGCTTCCACTGCAAAGAACCACAGGACCCCAGGCATACCGCGTCAGAATGTTCTCTGATACCGGATCGAAGTGGCTGTCATCTGAGAAAATTGATCTTCTGATCAGCTACGTCTTAGCAGACGCTCACTTGGATGATTTCCGGACTGATATGCCAAGGATCTGTGGATGAGTGCAGTTACCACAAGACCGCATTTCAAATGTCACGATTCCAAGTTGTCACGAGAGTAAAACAGTGTTTATGCCAAGCTTCTTGTGCCTCATAAGTTCCCGGAGTTGAGAAAGAGGTGCCGAAGGCAGACGAATGGAATTTCTTGTCCTTGCAACGGTACGTTAAGAGGAAGGCGCTTCCAATCAAGGTTTGCAATCGTTTGCAGTGAGTTTCAGTTGACATGGTTTATGTATCTTCTCTTCTAGCATTCAGCATCCCACCGATAATTGAGTTTCATTACGTGTGATAGAGAATCCTACTGGTCAAGGCAGACCATCAGAAAGAGATCTCCACGGAGTTTAGTATATGCACTAAAAGGTAATGAACTTCCACTTCATCAGCGGTTACACAACAGCAGGCGAACTGTTGCTGAAAACAGGTCTCCACATGTCCACACAGTGATGGCGTTGGAGTTGCGCTTGCTGCTACTACCTTTGTATAATAACACTCTACTTTTCTTATCTCGCACAAACATTTAAGCCCACGAGAAAAATGGATGGACCAAAGTTTATGTCCCCTTACAATCACTTTGGACTCTAATATTTGTATTAGTTACTCTGCCTTGGATGGCTGGCGCCGGTGGCTGAATGTGTCTCCATCACGACTTGCTCTTGAACTTCCTCTGAGCCTTCAAGTCAACCACGATCACCGAGATGTTGTCCTTACTTCCCTTCTCAAGCGCCAGCATAGAGAGGTATTCAGCGGCGGCTTGTGCTGCAGGGTCAATCCCTTTGCCCCTGTCCAAGGGCGATGAAGGAATCCCATTCTTCTTGTGCCACAGCAAAATCCGCCTCCGCGCCACCTCGCATGCTTCCTCATTGGTCATCACGTCCCACAACCCATCACTTGCTAGGATAAGGCACTCGTCGTCCCGAGCTCGAGGGACAAACATCACCTCAGGTTCAGGGATTATCCAGGGTTTCAAGTACCTATCGCCTGTGGAAGGTCCAAATCAAATAAGTGCAATGAGACGAGGGAAATGTACTACTTAAGTTTGAGCAGATATGGTTTTGAAGCGAAAAAAACTTAATCAAACGTATCCAGAGTAAATCTAGGGCAGCCACCTACAAGATCATTGACAGATCAGCTACTAAAACCATATCCCCTCATGAAGTAGCTTAATCTGCTATGTTGGAAACACAGAAAATTGGAAAAGGAAACACAGATAGCCATAAGCCAAACATATATCAGCTCAAAGGGTACTTGAATTGAATGACATGACTTTCAGCGGAAGAACCATATTACCCCGCAAAAAAGGTAAATATTTGATGGTATAAAATAAATATGAGAACAAGTAATTGCACAAGATACCTACCAATTGACCTTGACATTGCAAGAACACCAAAAACACGGTAGCCCTTCCACTGTATGACCTTGCCCCCAGCTGCATCAATTCGAGCATACTCCTTTTCTGTATCTGGCTGGAGAAGTAGCAGCCACCAAAAAAAAGAAAATATTATCTCCTGCAATAAACTGTGTTTCTCTAACTTTTAGGCATGAAAAGCCAGAAAGTTGGCTTACCTTGTGATCCACTGACAAGGGCATGGCTTCTTTGCCACGCAAGAGGACTGCTCTTGAATCACCACAATTTGCGACTATAATGTGGGAAGAGCATACCAAAGCAACAACAGCCGTTGAACCAACCGTTTCTGGGGCAACCGGCTCGAAACTAGCAGCTGAAGCATCTCCATGATCAGAGGTGATGCCTCTGCTTACTTTTCCTCCTATCTCATCATCAACTCTTTGAAAGCAATTAGTGAAGGCTCTTTCCCACATTGCTTGCCTAGCTTCCCCAACACTCCCATTTCCTATGTTATGTTTGACCTGTCCAATTTCTTCAGCCAAAGCCGGGTGGATCCGCTCACAACAATACTCAGCAACCTGCCTTACAAATTTTCCAACAATGCTAATTGATACTTAAAACAGAAATCTCAACAAAACAAGTTATTGGTGATAAGTCACGAGCAAGACACACAAACGTTTACACGAATTAATTCTCAGAATGTAGAACCAAAGCAGGAGTCGAAATAATCCAAACTTGAGAGCTGAAAGAAAAAATGTCTCCAGGAAGGTTCAACTAGTTACTATAGAAAAGACAGCTAAATAAATTTCAAGAATATAGAGGATGTACCCGAGAACCTCCATGGCCATCGTAAACACCAAAGAAGTGACTGGTTACATGGGTTAAACTTTGGCTAATCCCATCAATTATGTGTTCCCCAACAAGCATTTTGATAGGAATTTTCATGAACTGTGGCGCTGTTGTAACAGCATCTTCCATCTCCGGTCTTTTCCCACATATAGACACTGAGCCCCAAAGAGGTATACAATCTAGCTCGAAAACACTCCTTATGCCTCCTTTGGCGAGACTCTTCTCCTTTGGAAGCTGAGAAACCATCGCAGCAGCCTTCAGAATTGAAATATCAGAGCCTTCAGCTTGTGAACTCACTGCTGCTATCAGTTCACTCGCAGGAACCTCGGAATTTCCCAAAATTATGGCCTCAGCCAGAACTTGATCATTTTCTACTGCTTTTATTACCACTCGGCCTGTCACTAACAATTCATTGGCGATAACCAAACTGGTGTCTTCCCCGACTGACATAATCTCATCCTCGTCGTTTTCTTGCATCAAGTTATCATTAGGGACCACACTATCTCCATTCTCGGTCACCATCACCAACTCATTAGCTCCACCACCACCATCATCGCGTGCCATATCCGTGGCCAAATTGTTCACATAACTCGAATCAGAAGTATCCACATGGCAACAGAAGACAGACTCAGTGGACACCAGATTTGAAGGATTCGCAAGGAAGCTGGCTGCATTTGTCACGAGCTTGAGCCGCGTAATTTCCGCAGAGGATGAAATTCCAGAGTTATCGCGCATCGAATTACCTACACTAAGAGTTACTGCAACGGCTGGAGACATTTCTTCCATATAGATGCTCTCTTTGGTATTATTAACGGCTATCTTCAACTCCCCTCAATTTCTATCACCTGACAGGGAGATGGGCACAACAAACGTTTGCAAGACCAAGCAGCACCACCTCACTCTTATGTTGTTATATATGCTCTCTGCGGTACCAATAATGGTTGTCTTCAACTCCCCTCAATTTCCATCAATCAACAAGGAGATGGGCATAAAAGTTCCAAGACTGAGCAACGCCATATCATCCTTGTGTCGTTGACTCCCAATCTCGAACCAATAAGAGATGAAGCTAACAGGAAGGGAATTCAAGATTAAGATAAAAAGATGGGCATGCGGTGAAATTGAAGAGTGTAACAAAAGGGTAATCGGATCTGACGACTGAGAACAGATCTACGCCTTCAGTTCAAGAAAAATTAAAGAAGTTCGCAGTTTGTTTCCCAGATTCCGTCAAGACCTTATATAGTCCATTAAGTTCTTCCCGATTCTTCCTCCAGCCCCAGAAAGGACAAAACCATTCCTAACCCACCACCAAACCTTAAATACACAACATGATGTGTCAACAACCTGATTCAGGCTCTTATCCAAATCCAAACCCAGGACGAGGAAGCAATGGATTGTCACGATAAAGAACCTGAAAAAGAAGAAGATTGCACACAAGAATCACAGGTTAACCTTAAAAAGTGAAACCTTTTCCACAAAAAAAACATGAATTTCCTCGATCTGAAGTAACCCTTCAAGGCCAACGTTAAAAAAAAATGTTCCTTCATCGATTTCTCGATTTTCTTCTTCCGAAAACACACCAAGAACCCAGAAAATCAGCAGACAAAACTCCCCATATACTATAATGAACTATCAACTGGGTATTATTGTATAGCAAAGACCAACCTTCTCAGCCAAAACCAACCTTCTGATCAAGAACGTAAATCAGCAGTGATTGAAGCGTGCTCACCAGCTGTAGAAACAGAAAAGACTTGAAGGAGAAAAAGAAAAAAAGAAAAAGAAAAAAAAAGAGCATGAAAAGGTGATCAGTGAAACCTCATACCTAGAAAAGATTTTCCTGAATTTTCTATCCTGCTTCTTTTTTTTTTTTTTAAATTCTCTTGATATGCTTTTAATTGCCTCATGCATGCTTTTTGGGGACACGTATACCATGAAATTATCTCACATCATTCAATGCGCTTGGACCAAGAAAAAGCTGCCACGAAGACAACCCCCGCTCATGGTCATGGGTCCTTGGCAGTTCATACCCTTTGATGAGGGGCACGTGTCTCTCTGGACAGGACTCCCCAAGAAAACAAGAAAGAAAAGCAGGAACAGAGAAACGGCCGCAAAACAGAGCAGCACCAGAAACGTCTCCTTACCTCCTCTTGCGAAAGTTCGTTCATGCACGTGAGTGCGAGTTTTGCAGTACATCCCATCTTTCTTTACTCGTTTATGTTTTCTTAGGACGAAACAAAAAGAAGGTAAGGTTCAGTGTACATTCTGAGCACCGTTTCGAGAAAATTTATAGCAGGAAAATTTGCAGACACCCTTTGAAGTTCGGAGGTTTTATATTTCAACGGAACCGATGAATGCTTTCGATACTTCATAGCGCCTCGAATCGATATTTGCCAACTGTTAGAAGATTAAAATGCATATTCTCCACGATGATAAGCAACACATTTTCACGTTTCAAAACACGTGTGTTAAAAGTTCTATGGTGATTGCCTCGTCGGGGATGAGTATGCTCAGTGATCATATAGTTTCCCTTTTCGCTGATCGATTTTCAATTTCTGTATTTGCGTTTAGGGAAAACGCACGGTTGCATAAAAAATATTGATTTGGAAATAACCATACATAGCAATCATTTTCGTGTTAATATAGTACACCAATGGCGGACTAACCTTGACAATTAGGAGGTGCATAGTTCTACTCACACATACACTTAACAAGGAAATCCTAGATATCATTATAAAAGTTAGGGACAATCACATAATTGATCAATGAACTTTGGCCTAATGTGCAATATGATTCATTAACTTTTAATTTGTTAAATGTGTCCCTGCACTCTTGATACGTATTCAATTTAGTCATAAACTAGAAGATATTTAATACTGTCCTTCCATTAACTTAAGTTTAGGGACTAAATTATAGTCCGGGTATCAATTTGAAAATGTACCAAGAGTCAAGAGACTACACTGCACATTAACCAAAGTTCAGGGATCATTATGAACAAAATAAAAGTTTAGGGATCACATTAAATATTTGGTCAAAGTTTAGAACCATTTGTGTCATTTTTCCTTGAAAAATTACTCACATTGCATAAGAATTAAGAAATGAAGATAAATGTGTAATACAGTATTCATGAAAAAGGTCATGCATAATTTTCCCTTTCTACCTATCTACTTTTCCTGTTGAGGAAAAATGAACCCAAAACATCTTTCTTCAGAAATGTTTTTTCTCTGCTACAAAAGTTTCATAAAACCATATAATCAAAAGTAAGATGCTAGTAAAACAATGCATTGAAATGCGAAGATAATACCTCGCTTTTCGGGGTATTATTAGCCCTTATCCTCCAACATACCATTGTCGAAATTGATTAAATTACACAGCCCATCAAGTCAACGTCGATAATAATTTGAAAGGTTGTGGGGCTTCTGAAATTTCGTAACTGTCAAATTTCGAACAGAGCGCAAAAGGAGGAGAAGAAGAGAGATACGAAAAAACATTTACAAAAGTCTGTCCCAATGCTCAAAGTAAACAAAGTCCTAAATTTATTATGCTTGTACTTGGGGGTGTTTGGTTGGGCTTTGCCAAGGAGCTTTGAGCCTCCAAAGCCCTTTGGAAGAATTATTTTGTGTTTGGCAAATCATTTTTAGAGTTCTTTGGCCAAATGCTGGCCTTCTCAAGGCTGAAAGCCCAAGGCTGAAAGCCCAAGGCTGGTCCGGACCAGCCTTGGGCTTTCAGCATTCCACGAATGCTATTGTTTACCTTTTTTTTTTTTTGGGTTGAATCTGTTCTTCACCAGGCAACCGGCGAGGGCGGCCGGCGAGGGTGGCCGGCGAGGGAGAGCGGCCGGCGAGGTCGCCTGGGGTCGGGCGACCGCCCGGGCGACGCCGTCTCCAGGCGGCCGTCGCCTGGGTCGTGCGAGGGTCGCCTGGCCTCGGGCGACCGCCGGCGGCCGGATCCGGCGATGGTAGGTTTTGTTTTTTTTTTAATAAATAAAATAATTCTCAAAGTCCATTTGCAAAAAAAAATTCACCAAACACTATATTTTGGTCAAAGTAGCTTTACAAAATATTTTTACCAAACACCATTTACATTTGCCCAATGGGCTTTCACTCAAAGGTATTTGCATTCCCCCAAGTAGCATTTTCAAAGTTGAACCAAACAGGCCCTTGATAGTGGTACCGATATAGTCCTGAATTTTTAAATTGGACCAATTTAATCCTAAACCTTTTGCATTTATGACAATTAAGTCCATCATGCCAATTTTTACTGGAAATCGTCGATGTGCATGCCCACCGTCTTATGTTGCGCGGCCGGCACTATCGTGGATATTTTGTAGTAGTATTTTTTAAGTTTTTTGTTTTTTTTTTCTTTTCTTTTGTTTTCCTTTCATTTTGGCCGGTGAGGGTTGCCTCATCTAGAGCTAGCAAGATCGCGATGGCCCTAGGCGAGGCCATCGCAACCTCACCAGTCGTGAGCGAGGAGGCCCTCGCCTAGATCTAGCGAGGGCCGCAACCCTCTCATTGCGGCCCTCGCCAACCAAAATGAAAGGAAAAAGAGAAAAAAATATATTAAAAATTGTCAATATCAGCGTCGACCAGTGTCGACGTCAGTGATTTTCGGCCAAAATTAGCCAGATTGGCTCAATTTGCACAAATACAAAATGTTCAGGATTAAATTGACATGATTAAAAAATTTATGATTGAATTGATATAAATACAACAGGTTTAGGACTTTTCAGATTCTTTTCCCCAATGCCCGCACCATGTCCCCCAAGCGTTTGGTACTTTCTAAATTTTAAATTCTATTTTACTAATCACAATCCTGAAATAACACAAACTCTTATCCACAATTAACTAAAAAAATTCAAAATATTTTGAAATTGTGTTTTTTTTTCTTTTCCGGTAACTGAACTTCGAAAAAGAAAAAAACACAGAGACGGAGCCTCGCTCTGGAAACTCATTCCGGAAGGAATGATGACGTGGAAATAGCTCGACTCGTTCAACGATGGTTCGTTCGGACCATATCCTTTGAGGAGAAGAAGAAGACGAAGAAGGTGACCGTTCTGTTCGCGCGCGCGCGCGCGCGCGTACATGCGAACGAGGGGAAGCGAAGCGGCCAAGCCACTCCAAAATAGGCAAACGGCCGGAACGACCAAGCAACCGTTTTTCCCTCGGACTTCTGTTAGAAGGTTGCAACGCCCTCCCCGCTCGTTATAGCTTCAGCACACAGAGAGAGAGAGAGAACGAAAGAGCAGCGTTCGACGATCCCGCTCCTCTCCCCTCCGTCGCCTTCCTCGTCCTCGTCCTCGTCCTCTATCCAGAGGGGGAGTCGCAGAGGGCGAGAGTTTGATCGAATGTGCGCGAGCACGCTGTCACGAATCGCTTTTGTGAGTGAATCGGGGGAACTCGGGCATGGCGCTCTCTCACTCGCGGTTGTCCGCGGCGGCGGCGGAAGAGGAAGCAGGCTGCGGCATCGTGACGGCGATCGCGATCGACAGAGACAAGAACAGCCAATCCGCCGTCAAGTGGGCGGTGGAGAATCTGCTCCGGAAGAGCAGCTCCGAGTGTATCCTCCTTCACGTCAGGACCCAAGGCCTTTATTCAGGCAGGTTCTTCTTTTATATCAAGCTCTACCGTGTTTTCTTCTAATGAATTAATTAGCTTTACAAGGACTTTGTTCGATTAGTTTGGTAATGCGGCTTGTTCGGAGTTTTCATCATGATGGACGAGAGGTGTGATTTGAGACGCCCAAGAGATTGTATTAACTCAAACGAGGAGTACTGCGATATATATCAGATTCGGACTAGCTTATTAATCTGAAGAGTATTGGTATTTTCATTGAACAATTATCGCGACAAGCTTTATGGGATCCGTGTAAGTGAGCCAGATTTGTTCTCGAGTCAATTTACCGCATTAGGTACCGGGCCACGTCGCATTACATCGTCCCGCATTTGAATCCTGATGAACAACTGCATTTGGACATGAATTGGGCGGTGATGATGATGCGTGGCAATTGCACCAACGTGGCTTCACCAACAATGTCTGATTGATATAGGCATAAACTGTTGCAGGTGACGCCGAGATGGTTCCTAGCGGAGGTCGGATGCCAACTGAAGCTGAGCTGCAGCAGTTTTTCCTTCCCTACCGTGGATTCTGCGCTCGAAGAGGGGTAAGTTGGGCTCGACCGAGCTGCATGACTATAGTTCACATATTTTTCTTCCCCAAGATGGATTAGGAAGTCAGGAACTTCCCCTGCATAAGATCACTTTAAAGTATGAAAATAGTAATCAAAAGCTTAAGGTGAAGATGCTATTTAGTGGCTCGCCAAGGTTTGCGTTTCAATTATTTGGATCTGATTTTCCAGGAAAATGGTTATTTCAGATTGCAGCAAAGGAAATTATCCTCCCCGACATTGATGTTCCCAGTGCACTACTTGATTATGTAGTTAATAACTCCATCAGCAACATTGTGGTTGGTGCTTCCAGTCGCAATGCGCTTACAAGGTCTCTCTCTCTCCACCCCCCAAGAGTGCATGTGTATATGGCGTGTTTTATATAGTTCTCCCCTAATGACAACTAACAAGTTTTAGTATATCTGATCTTGTGCAGAAAATTCAAAACTCCTGATGTGCCATCTAGCTTGGTGAAATCTGCACCACCAACCTGTTCTGTTTATGTTATATCCAAGGATAAACTTCAAACTGTTAAAGCCGCAACTAAGCGTCACATATTCCCTTCTACACCGTCTTGTATCAAAGATAATCCCAAAAAGAGTTATCCTATTGGAAATCAACCTAACATCCAACCAAAGACTCCGGACTCTTTTGACATGAACAGGTAAATCTACTTTTGTCATCATGACTTTCTTTTTGGGTGACCATTCACTGAAGGAGCACCTCAGAAAACTCCCTAACGCCCAAAAAGCAAATACCCAAATACAGCTTGTTGACAAGTTTTAACAGTGTTCATTGGAGATCATCATAATGTATATGAATCTTTTAGGGGATAACAAAATGCAGGGATTGCTGCTATACTTATTAGATCATAGTACTAGATACAAGTAAGAAGATGCCTCCGATGTTATGCTTGACAAATTTAATCCAAAGTATATGGTGACCTGATTTGCATACCGATTATTGATGACTTCTCGCTGCGCAGGAGTACATATAGCATTGGCAGTTTGAGAAGTCAGAGCTCTGATAGTACAAGCTCCGAGAAAAGTACTGATGTTAGGCAGATGAACTTCGACAGCTGGAGGGAAAATAGGTCACCCTTGGTACGGCCATTGGAAGCTTACGTAATGGAGAATTTATCTATTCAAAGTTCTTCATCAGATGCCACCGATTTTTCCGGACAATTAAGCTATCCTTCGTCTTCTGATAATGTACAAGGATACCCAGTGCCAGAGAATTCCATGGGTTCTTTCTCCTCACATGCCTCTGTGAGTACAATACACAGCATTGTCTTGCACATCTTTTGATCATTGCAGGACTCGTTTATGTGTAGAACTTCAAGGAAGTGGTAAAAAAGTGGATGCATTTCTTGAAATGAAACAGGGATAAAGAAGTTCATGCTACTCGATGAGTCTGGTTCATCTTGCACTTTTCGATGTCCTAGAGATGTAACATATCACAAAAGTCAAATTTTCTTTTCAACTATTTATTTTATTTTGGTTCTCCATGCTAACCAAAGCCACTTGGTAGGAAAAGGCTTGGGGGTTGTCACTTTTGTTGCGTGTAGTTTACAGCATAATATATAAATTGGGTACCAATGAATTCCACTAAATGTGTTGTGCTCAAGATGATATTAAACAGAAATATTCAGAATGTTCGTTCTTAGACAACCAAATGAAACGACTGCTCTCATTTTTGTGAGTTTTTTGACAGCGTGGCCTGGAAGCAGAAATCGAAAAACTAAAACTTGAATTTAAGCAGTCCTTATCTACTTACAACATGGCATGCGAAGAAGTGTCTGCTGCAGAAGAAAAGGTAATGCTATAGCTCAGGGATCATGATCAATCTATCACAGAAAATGAATCATGACCGTGTTCATCATTTCGAATTTGATAGAGCCGATTTTTTTTCCTCATCTTTTTGAAGGCTAAGGAGCTTCAGCGAATGAAGACTGCAGAAGTTATAAAGTTTACGGAACCGAAGCTTCGTAAGGAGGTTGCTTGGACTTCCCCAACTGTTGAGAAGCAGGAGACATCAGTGGCAAAGGAAGTGACCCAAATTAGAGAACGGCAACAGCTGGTGGAGGCCAAAAAGGGACACAATGCGGAAGATACAACAAATGGTGAGTCAGGAAAGAGGAAGAGAGCAATAAATGCCTTGGCCCAGAAGAATGTTTGGTACAGAAAGTACACGATCGAAGAGATTGAAGAGGCCACTGATTACTTCTCGAATTCTCTTAAGATTGGTGAAGGAGGATACGGACCTGTTTTTAAAGCCTGCCTTGATCACACTCCTGTGGCCATCAAAGTCTTGAGACCCGATGTTTCCCAAGGACTGCAACAATTCCAACAGGAGGTGAGTGTAGTTTGTTCTACAGGGCTTGCTCTGATTCGTAGTTTCTCAGTTAAAGCTACTTTTCATTGAATGAGCTCTTCTCACTTAAAGCTATGCACCTGCTCTACGGAGTGCTTATCTAATAAATTTCACAAAAAATAATAGGAGAGACCTCCCGAAAGACAGATGAATCTTTGTTGGGCAACAAGACCTCGTTTCTTTGATAAAAGAGGCCATAATGAAGAATATTTAATGGCTTTAGCACGAGAAACATGTTGGGATTTCGATAAGTTTGCATCCCAATGATCAACTCAAAAAACCTTTACAATTACTTTTCCTCTTTCATGGTCTCTCCAATAATACAGGTTGAGGTACTCAGCTGCATGAGACATCCAAACATGGTTCTCCTTGTGGGTGCATGCCCCGAGTATGGATGCCTTGTGTACGAATACATGGACAACGGTAGCTTAGAAGACCGAATCTTCTGCAAAAACAACACTCCTCCGATTTCTTGGAGAAGCCGTTTCAAGATTGCAGCCGAAATTGCTACAGGTCTTCTTTTCCTGCACCAGACAAAACCAGAACCCTTGGTGCACCGTGATATCAAGCCCTCGAATATCCTCTTGGATCACCACTATGTGAGCAAAATCAGCGACGTGGGTTTGGCGCGGCTGGTACCGCCATCAATAGCCAATAAAGTGACCGAGTACCATATGACGGCAGCAGCCGGAACATTCTGTTATATTGACCCGGAGTATCAACAAACAGGAATGCTTGGCGTAAAATCAGACGTGTATTCTTTTGGCGTGATGCTGCTGCAGATTATTACGGCGAGGCCTCCAATGGGGCTGGCGATGCAAGTTGAAGATGCTATTGAGGGAGGAACATTTCCTCAAGTGCTCGATCCAGCCATAAACGATTGGCCAGTGGAAGAAGCCTTATCATTGGCAAAGATGGCCTTAAGATGCTGTGAGCTGAGGAGAAGGGATAGGCCAGATCTCGGTTCAGAGGTACTACCAGAGCTGAACCGGCTGAAGGACTTCGGGTTGGATGACGAAGCTACTATCGAGAAGACTCTGTTGTATAACCCACGTCCGTATAGTTCAGTGCCTGAGATGGAATCAAAAGCCCCTCAGGTTAGTATTTGAAATTACTCATGAAGTGATTGCTTTAACAAATCAGTTGTTGCTCATTTTACATTTAGAACTGCATGGTTCTTGGCATTCCAAGGAACTAAAAGCGTTAGATGAACAAACCATCATTCATCCGCAGTTAAAAACATTCTCTTTTGATCACCCTAAACCCCCAAAGCAAAATCTCCCTGCAAATGTTCTCATAAGGAATGTCCCTACTTTCCATCAGTGTTATGCCCACAAAAAAGTTGCTAAATTCTGGCACTTGAGTATTGGCTGGTTAGACAAAGACAGCAATTAAAAATGGCATAAGTTCAGAAGGTTTCCCTGATGCACGTTCCAATCATATCTGTATTATGTATAATCAGGAAGGAAAAAACAATCCTAACGTGGCAATTCAACTCAGATCAATGTGAGAGGAAGGTGGGGGCGCTTTAAGTCAAAGGCCGAGGCATGGAGTCTGAAGAATAGCTTTAGGAAACCGAGACCCCTCCTGCCTAGCAGAAAGCAAGCGGACAATCCAGGGAAGATGCCAGTCGAAGGTTGCTGGTCATTCGTGAATTGTTCCACACCCAGTCCTCAGATGAAGAGATTCATGTCATTCTCCTAATAACAGTTTTTGAATGATACTAAAGGCGCAGAAATTCCTAGTATCTATTGACTTGTAAGTTACGTGGATAACTAGCCATGAGTTCACCATGACCTGTTGTCGGTCCTGTATAACGAGTGCCTCAACGCCTTCTTAAATGTCAACTTGAAACGAACTGATCTCGAGGTACCTCTCATTAGTCAAGAGAAATGGCCATGAAGGAGCTTTAACCTTCGCGGCATTTATCAGATTTTCCACCACATCAGTCATAGTTTCAATCCTAATGGATATTGTGACCTTCATTGCACTTGCTCTGACGGTGCTTACCAGTATGTGCCAAATCTACAAAGTTGGCAAAAGCATGAAATCGGCGGTTTTGAGAAAGCATGAAATTTTACTAGACTTTCTTTAGCAGTTTATGTGGCTCAACTCACGATAGAACATAATTGATTTCTAAAGAGTAGATACAAAAGTCAATAGGTTCATTTGATTAGCCAATCAGTATACCGTCTCGTCTTTCACTGAACAGACATTTAGAACATGTTTTTTTAACACATGGAAGGTAACACTTCCCAATAGAAGAGGGTTTTTCAAACACATGAAATGTCGTGAGAGCGGAACCGTTGGATTAGATTCTAATGTAAAGACCAAAGCAGCATTCCTCGACTCGAACCCACAAACCAAACCACAAAAGCCGGTAGCCAATGAAGCAAGCGAATCGAACCATCCAACCGATTCAGTATGAGCCTGCGAATGCCCTTGTTATTGGTACATAGTAAGGAGTTTGTGCATGTATTTGGGTTAAGAAAAGAAGAAAATATTCTGATAAAAAAAGAAGAAGAAAATACACGGTGAGAAGAGAAACAACTCGCCCATCTCCATCTAATTATACTGAGATAATGTTAAAAGATGGCTCTAAGATGTTAAACATCGTTAGTCATACTCTGGAAGTATAAATTATTTGTTTAAATTAATTAAACTTCTTAAATTTTTAATTTTCAAAATGTCCTAAAAAGCATTTTTATTTTTCTTTTTATAGTTGGCTTAACAAATGTTTCGAGGACACTTGTTGTCAAACCTCCTTTAAAGTAAAACTTACTTGGATATCTCCATATTCCAAATTGTGGAAAGGTAAAGATCTTAGTTTCAAAGGAATAACGGTGAGATACAAAAACAAATAAATTAATAAGAACTTTTACCGTATATGCGACAAGAAATAGAAACTCATTTAAAATTAAATAAAACCGACTGCTTTAAAAAAAAAATAGAAGAGTCAAGATGGAGTAATCTTAGGTACATTAAGATTAATTTATGAAATGACATAATAAACTGTAAGTGAGCAATTATGCAATAATCAATAGAAATCTATCAAATAAAAACTAATGAAAATCATTTTACCTGTAATGAATAAGATTGCAGAAGTCTACAACGGATAGCCGAGCGAACTTAGAACGGACTCGCTGGTAGTTGGCTCCTCGTAAGTTAGTGCGACTTCATCGTCGAGCACAAACATATGTCGGATCTTGCCATTAGAAACCAATGCAATGCGCGGTCCTGCTTTGTGGTTTTTGGGGCGGGAGGACTTTTGCAAATGAAGGTTGCCTCACGAGGCACCGTTTTCAATGATTGAACGGCAGAGATTGGCGAATCTTTTGCGGAACTGTTCGAGAAACAGGTTGCTCAAACAGGGACTGCAGGTTCACGGGGCGATAACGAAGGTGGGTTTCGCTTTCGATGTGATGCTGAGCAACGACTTGATCGATCTGTACGGGAAATGTGGCCGGGTGGGCATGTCCCGCGACGTGTTCGACAGAATGCCCCAGAGAAATGTCGTTTCTTGGACGGCTCTTATGTGCGGTTATTTGCGCGATGGAAATGCCGAAGCCTCGCTGACATGCTTCTGTCAAATGAGGAGGTCCCCGGTCGAGCCGAACGAGTTCACTTTGTCGACCGGTGTCAAGGCATGTGGTGTCGCGGGTGTTCTTGATCACGGAATGCAAATTCACGGACTATCTATCAAGACTGGATTTGATACTATCTGCGTGGTTGGCAATTGTATAATTGATATGTATGCGAAATGCGGCAGGATTGGTGAAGCTGCTAGGATGTTTAACACAATGCCGTCTATGAATCTCATTAGCTGGAACGTGATGATAGCTGGACACGTACTCGAAAATAATGATGCTGAGAAGGCTCTCGTTTTGTTTAGGGAAATGCAAGAAGCAGGGGAAGTTCCGGATGAGTACACATTCACAAGTACTCTAAAGGCATGTAACCGTCTTGGGGACATAAAAAGAGGGAGCCAAATTCATGCTTTCTTAATTACAAGTGGGTTTGGAATCTCTGGCAGGCCTGCAGTTGCTGGTTCTCTTGTTGATCTATATGTTAAGTGCCAGAATATGTCTGAAGCTCGGAAAGTTTTTGATCGAATGGAAGATAAGAATGTCATCTCCTGGAGTGCACTTATTCTCGGTTATGCTCGAGAAGAAAATTTGAGACATGCCATGGAATTATTTAAGCAACTTGAGGAAAGCAGTGTCCAAGTTGATGGATTTGTTTTATCCAGCTTGATTGGAGTATTTGCTGATTTCGCACTCTTGGAGCAAGGCAAGCAAATGCATGCATACACCATCAAGCTGTCATGCGGTCAGGACATATCTGTCGCCAATTCGATTCTGGATATGTATCTCAAGTGTGGATTAACAGATGAGGCAGAGAAGTTTTTCAGTGAAATGCCAGCAAAAAATGTGGTTTCTTGGACAGTCATGATCACTGGCTTCGGAAAGCATGGATTGGGTGAAGAAGCTGTTAGTCTCTTTAAAGAGATGCAGTTGGAAAAGGTTGAACTGGACAGTGTAACTTATTTGGCTGTTCTTTCAGCCTGTAGCCACTCCGGACTCATTGATGAAAGTCAAAAAATCTTCTCAAGCTTGTGTGCCGACAGGCCAATGAAACGGCAAGTAGAGCACTATTCTTGCATGGTTGATGTCCTCGGTCGAGCTGGACGCATCAAAGAAGCAAAGATTCTAATTGAAAGTATGCAGATGAAGCCCACTGTAGGAATATGGCAGACTTTGCTTAGTGCGTGTCGGGTTCATGGAGATCTAGAGACGAGTCGAGAAGTGGGAGAGATCCTTATGAAAATGGATGAGTTAAATCCAGTGAACTATGTGATGATGTCAAATATTTACCTTGAGGCAGGATATTGGAGAGAAAGCCAAAAAATAAGAGAAGAGGTGAAAGAAAAGAGGTTGACAAAGGTGGGAGGATGCAGTTGGGTAGAAATTGATAAAAAAGTTAACTATTTTTATAGTGGAGATGACACACACCCACTCATAGATAGCATCCATGACACCTTGAAAGAGATGGAAAATCGGATGAAAGAAGAGCTAGGTTATGTGAATCAGGTGAGATATGCATTGCATGATGTGGAGGACGAGTCAAAGGTCGAGAGCTTGAGAGTTCATAGCGAAAAGCTGGCGATCGGGTTGGCTTTGGTTTCTGGTGGACTGCAACGCAAGGAGGGTGTGATCCGTATCTTTAAGAACTTGAGGATATGTGGAGACTGTCATGAATATATTAAATGTTTATCAAGGGTTTTGAACATGACATTCATGGTTAGAGATGCTAATAGATTTCACAAGTTCCAGGACGGACTGTGTTCTTGTAAGGACTACTGGTAATTCAGATATGGATACTCACTTGACTGTTCTTTGGCAACATTTTGAGATGAACTCCCTGCTTCAATCTCTAGAGCTGATGCGGATATTCAGTCAGCAGATGTTAAATCTGAACTGAAAGAAAACTCCTTGGTGAGTTTGCTCGAAACTCAGCATATTGTTGCAGGAACCAAATAAAAGGAAGGCAAGGGGATCTCCTAAAACCTACTCCCCAGCAAATTTCTTTTTGAAAATTTCACTGAATATCTAAAATGTGCTTCACTAGAAATGGATATTTATATGTGATCGGGGTGCTTGCTTGGGAAGCAAGATCACAGAAAAAACACAGATTCGTTTAAATGATTTGAAATTTTGACTCTATATAGTATATCCATTTGTCCAAAGTAAAAATGCATTCTCAATGAGCTTCCCAACCAATCTCGATGGGCTATCATGGAGACTTTTTTTTTTCCAGATAAGCCCAAGATTGGGAGTTGGAAGTATTGCTTACTTCTTTAATTTGTTGTATGATTTTTGCACGGCTTCTAGCTTGAGCACATGCTGTTTGGTATAGTAGCAAAGATGGTAAATTCCCTATAAGATTCTTTTGATGTCATGGAGGAGAAGGTGATGGATTGTGGTAGGCAGCTCTGCTTTTCCTCGTACAACTGTTTGGAAAGAAAAGGTTCCAGCACGTTTCTTTCTTTGGTTGGGAAGCTTTTTGGGAGGCGGTCTAGCTTTGGACAATCTGAAGAAGAGAGGTGAAGTATTGGCCAATATATGTTTACTGGCAAAACTGGGGAAGAAATTGTGTTGCATCTTCTTCTTCATTGTCCTTGCTATAGCATCATCTTCCCGAAGGGATGCTTTGGGAACTTGTTTTGCCTCTGTGCTGCTGTGTTGGGTTATACTGAATCCGTTGAGAAAGAACTATGGGCACTGGAAAAGCATTCATATCGCTCACCCTAGGATGAAGTGGATATCATCAATTTCTCGTTCATTTTTTTGGTTGGTTTGATAAAAGTGGAACACTAAAGCTTCCGGGGGGAAGAATTTCTGTTGTAAATGCTTGGATGGAGATTCTAGCTGCATTATCTTGTAAATGAGCCCCTTTTGGCTTTGAGCTCTTTAAATGAGTTGGCACCGTCTTGGTGCCTCATAACAAACTTTTCTTTACTGATCATTTTATTGTTTGAACCTGAAGACGCACGACTTGATCTGATAAGTGTAATTCACGTTTCATACTTGATTGACAATTCATGTGGTACTTGCGGGTAATTAATACAATTTGTTAGAATAACATACAATTCTTATCCATTGTAAGAGCAATTGTTTTTCTTATAACTCAAGTCCAAACATGCCAAGTCATGACACGTGAATCAATTGTTATTTTGTTTTGTTAGATTATTGTTTCTCTTAAGTTGTTTTTCTCGTTTTTATGTATTTGTACTACCATGCGGATGCAGTTGCTGCTGGCTATCTGGGGCATTATGACAAACAGAAATGAAAAAAAGTGGGCAGGAAACAGAATTTAAGCACTGCTTAGTTGGCCATAACTTTGGATTCAGGTAGAAATACTGGGGTCAAAGTGCAATTTCGGAAAGCTTGTTCAGAGTTTCACGATGGCCAAATCGAGGATCTGTTTGACGATTTTCTTTTTATTCTTTTCCCTTTGCCTCAAAATTCATCGCCACCGTTTTCTACTTCTTGATCTATTCATTTGTCTTGAGCCCATTTGTTATATCCATCTTAACATCAGATTTCCTCTGCTAACAAATGTTACTGAGTTTTTTTCCTTTTTTGTGTCATGTTGGAGAATAGCTTGTGACGATTTAGGAAAAAAATTACGTCGAGAGAGGATTTCTCCATCGGTGTTGGAAATGTAAACTTAGAAATTCACAAGGTTAATTTCTATCTTCCATAGCATCTATTGCTCTGCACCCGAAAGAAGCAGATTCGTTCACAGTTTCTCCTTCCTTTCCTTATTGAATGTAAGAAACAGCATCAATGCTCACCTTCTCCTTTGGGCACTGTTTTCCTTTTAGTCTTGTTAGAATGAGGGATCTGTGGATACAGACTGAATAGTGTTTTTATTCCTAAATTTAGCGAAGAATGCGGCTTGACTTGAAAAAGGTGTGATATCTCCAAAGTTGTGTAGCTAAGACATTAATTCTCATTTTAGGTACACAACTAAAAGATGGCATAGGCTGGGCAGATCTCACGTCCCTTGCGTCTCGACATCGTCCGGAGTAACTGTGAAGCCTATGAAATATCAGGGTCCATTTTTATTGTCTGTCTAGTTTGTGCGCTTTTACCGTGAGGTTTGAGCAACCAACTAAAACTGATGCATTCCAGATTTTTTGCCACCTTCTCGCTACAGGTTGTGCTAAGCCCATAAATTGTGAGTAGATTTCCCATGCTGTCTGTCCTGTCTTGTAACCTTTGCAAACCGTTTTCCAGGCATTACAGAGACCACCAACACTCAAGAATGCTCCATCTAAGAGAGACATGGAGATTGAATAGATTCAGGCCGCACTGCACATTTCGTTACGAAGCTCCATCTTTGGCAAAGTGACGATGCAATATACATCTTAAGCAATTGCTTCTTCAGAAGCATCCACTGTTCATTTCATCATATCGTTACCTCTCTCTCTCTCTCTCTCTCTCTCTCTCATCCGGACCCAAAAGATCACACGGCACTACTTCTTTCAACAGCAACACCATTAAAGTCCCAATCAGCTCGACAATATTATGTCAGTGTCAGACAGAATGTCCATAACTATTCGATAAATTAAGTTCATCATAGTGAAACAAGCAAAACGTTCGTAAGTACTGTAGGTTAATGTCCCATAGTGTGTGCGGGTGCTGATGACCACCTCTAGGGAAGTAACCTGTCCCCCGAGCCTTTTGTGCTTCTATCTCCTGTTTATGGCCCCAGCATGAACAGTTGAGTTGATGGATTGCCGGCCATTGCAGTTGAGTTAATTTTTGCAAGTCACCATTTTAAGCATTGAAAGCATATATCCTTTTGGCGACAAAACTTGTCCTGTTCATGGGAAGAATGTAAAGCAAATTTCAATGATAATGACACAACCATACGTCAGCGAATAGAAATCATCAGGGAAGTCTAGCTGACAAACCTGATCAAACAATTGATAGAGCGCATAAATCAGCAATTATTTAGAAGCTAGAACAGAATCAGGAAGTCTGCAATCTTGCTTAGTGAATATGCCACGAATCCAGCACCTAAAGTTGAAATTCACAATGAGTAAGCACCAAATGTTAGGGTACTGTAATTGGATGCAGAATAGAAAGAGCAGGCCAAATCAACTCACTCCAACTCAATAGTTTCATCACTTTCTAGAGCATCGAGATTCAGAATCAGACTTGTGGTCCTCATTAGTTTCTCTTGGATTTTGGATTGACACATTTTTTCCTTCATCTATCATATCAACTTCTCAAAAGGATGGTCCATCTTAGTAAAGCTTTTCTTATTTGTTCCAACAAAGATTGTTCACACAAAACAGATCAATTAACGTGGAACTTCAGTTCCACTCAAGCATCCATCAGGAAAGATTGAAGATTTATAATTTTTCGTAGTCATAAATATTCTTTAAAAATCACCGAATATGGTACAGGTATGTTATGTTCAGGCTCATGCATATCCTGTCCCTGTTATATTTGTCTTTCCCAGTTGTAGTCACCACATTCACTCAGTATTCTCCACGCCCTACGTCCAATTGAACCTTTTTCAAGACATTATCCCCGAAAATAATATATGAACGATTGTTGGTAATATGAAGAAGAGTAATAAAAAAGTACCTATCCATGGTTACATTCTTCAAGCGGTTCTCAATTTGTTTCTGATATATGCTCATATCTGCTGTAAAAAATCCAGCTCCCAGAAACAGGTTGGAAAGGAAATCTTCAGTGAAGTAAAATGAACACTGGAAAGAAACATTTTTCAAAATAATGTCCCTACCATCTGAAAACAGTGATTGTTAAGCAGAAAACAAACAATACTTAGTACTTACAGTACCATCTCCTCGTACATAAAAGTTCTCGGTGATCATCCGATCTTTCTCTTTTAGCTTCACCTATACATAGAAGGAGCAAACCCAATGAGTCCTCAGTGCTCAGAGAACCTACCAAAACTTAATCCCTTCAAGAAGCAAGACACTACCATTGATTTCATGACTGGTCTCTTCGCATCAAAACTCTATGTCTAGGAGCCGCTTCAAAGTGTTGAAACAGAATATCAAGTACTTAGCAAATAGAACTAGTGTACTATGCTAAGCATAGACTGTGAACTGTTTTGGTCCACTTCAGTCCATGCTGCTTAGAATTTATCAAGCATTTGGATTTTTGTATCGGACAACAGTTTGAATTGATTCCCACTAACATAGTAAAAGGCAAATGAGCAATTTTACCTCCAAATATTTTTCCCCTCCATTTTCCCCCCTCTTTCCAAACAAGGGATAGTATTAGCAATCCATTTTCTTCACCTTCACTTGCAACCTTCCCAAACACAAAGAAGGGATGGAAGTCATTTTCTCATCCTTCTTTTTCTACACTTTCCATTTCCAATCTGCTACTTTTCTTTTGGCTATAAACTTTTGAAACATAGTGTTCTATACTGTGTCGTTCCACCCTAAACATACTTCAATACAGCAACATGTGTCATTTCAATTCTGTCAATACCACAATACTTCCACTAGCTTTTCCATCTGCACAATGCTAAATTTCACTGTTTATCAACTGCCTCTCCATGATAGAGCCCATCATACGTACAATGAGGTAAATTCCCCTTTGATTCTCTCTACAATAAGATATCCAGGTTATCCCTTATGACAGGTTTCCATGACATATGACCACCATGAAGGCGTGTAGCAGAGTGAAGAGCGACCCTCACTCATTTTGTTAGATTTGTTAGTCAATATTACGTATAGATGCCCCAGTCCGTCCTTCCCACTATAGCATGCATGGGTACTCATCATCTAAAATAGATGCCGTTCCGATTATCTACACGGGCTCGATTCTTACTGGAGACAATATTTGAAACTCTTAAAAACTTGCAAGAACGCGAAAAGTGTCATCAGACTATGAAGGAGAAGGTTGTCATGGATTTGTCATTAATACAAAAAACTATGAAGTGGAAAGTATTGTTGGACTAAGCACCAAGTGACTTACTTGCGCAAAATCTCCAAAGGCATAGTCTCGAAACAATACACAACCATCCGGCTGCAAGCATCAGAAAAAAGTTATGTTGATCTAACAAGAACCAAATAATCAAGTATATAAATAAGAATGTAAAGATTAGTACGAGAATTACCCGATCTATACCTTCAGCACACCTCTGATATTCTGCAATATCTTGGGCATTTCACTTGGTAGTACTGCGGATAGCATGAAAATCTGCCAATAAGTTAGGAGCTGAATAAGTTCATCAATTATGTGTTGCAGCTGAAACATCATAAGTATTGAGAAAGCAAAAGAATACAAAAGAAAGACACGCACACATTCTTACCAAGGTGACAATGTCAACTGATGAAGGAGCAAGTCTGTCACATAGATCTTCCTCAGTGACATCGCACACAAATGCATTCACCTGGGTTTCTTTGTGATCCGCATGAGACTGCAAATAGAAGAACACCCAAATTTATCCATATTATTCTTACAGTCTTAGGGCCGTACAGTCGAAGACAAGCAGGATCGAAATGAATGAATGAATAACAACCCAGAAGCACCTTGAGGAGTTTAATCGCGTGAGGTGACAAATCGCAGGCATGAATATAAAGCTCAGGGAATGAAGCCAAGAGAGGAAAAATAGTATTGCCAGCTCCACAACCAACCTGCCATAAGAATTTCTTATGATCTCACGGGTCGCCACAAAAATAAAAGGATAATATCTCATCACGATTTTCCTCTGATAACACTGCATTCTAATAACAAAACTGAAAACGCCCACTGAGTAAAATCATCAATGCTATCGCCTATCCTGATTATTTGCTTCAAATGCAGCAAGGAAGCTCAACAAATCTACTCTTTTTTCTCCAATAATACTAGTAACAGCCGAACAATTCACTCATTAATGGATGGAAAAAATTATTACCTCTAGAACGATCTTCTTGCCATTAGACGACCCAATATCACCAGAGAAGTACTGACCCCAATCCTTCTCCAGGTAATGCCTATCCTTGAAAAACTGCAAAACTCCAAAATCATCAACATCCTTGTTTCCATTGGAAATTCATGTGAGCTGGAAAAAAGAAAAAGAAAGAACAAAGAGAAGGCGTTCTGAGCTGAGCGAGTTACGTAACCTTGTCCTGGTGACGCCTGTAGAAGTTGTCCCAGTACTTGAGGGCATTGTTGGGGAAGTGAAGGGAAGGCCGGACGGCCGTCGGGTGAGAGCGGTGGTGGCGACGGCGGACGGCGACGGTGGAGCGGAGGAGCGAGGGGCGTTGTAGAGTTTGGAGAAGAGCAAGAGGACTGCTCATCTCATCTCCGCCCTCCAACGAGCTGTGGACCGTATGAGAAAGGCGTACTTTGAAATATCTGATTTTTTACTCATCAAAATGACGGTTAATTCCACGAAAATTTTTAAATTAATATATTTATGATAAACTTATTTAAAATTAATTTTTGGATCACTAAAAATTCGAAATTGCTATACATGGACATATTTATAGTTTCCAGTTAAATTATCCTATCAAATTATTGAGTTCGATAACACATGACAGTTGATGTTGCAAGTCCACGTGAAAATCTAAATGGTTAATACAATAAAAAAACCCCAACTAATACATCTATGACAAATTATTCCAAATTGATACACTTGTGAAAAATTTACTCAAAACTATTTTTTTGTTACAAAAAACTTCAAATTAATACATACGTGACACATTTATTTTTCGTTAGTCTTCCTTTTCATCAAGTCCTTCGTCATCGTTTTTTATCTAAGGTCGTGAAAATTGTGAACACCATCTAACGAGAACTCTTTAGTGACACTTTTCTTGATAAATTTAGGTCAAACAATCATGCCGAGTTGTGATGTGCAATCAAGTTTCGTTTTCAGATTTCTCTAACAGCGCCTTTATATCATCAATACCTAAATCTTTTTCTTACTAATTCACTACAAAATTTTACCAAGAAGAAAAAGGCTTTGCTATGAAAGTAAAATAAGTGCGACCCTTCATCATGGGCAACATACTCCGGCAAAGAATCTCCATTGTTATTTACACCCTCTTATTTTCACAACTGCAAGAATCTCTGTAGTTCTTTACCTCAACTTTTCAAATCAGAAAGAAAGTGAAAAAATTTCTCGAGTACATATTACGAAATTAAAAATGAAAGATCACTGCGCATGCAGCAGGATAACTCATATGAAAATCATGTAAGATTGAAACAAACCTAATTAGGTGCTTTTCACGAGTACAAAAATTTTTAGATAAGGTCAAATTCAGGGCAAGTGAGCAGTTAGGCTCGAAATATGCGCGTGTGATGATTAAGTTTTCGCGAGCCTATGCTCGGGGTTTATGAGGATCGATAAAGTCCATGAAGGTATTTTAGAACAAAATTGAGTCCGACAAGAAGAATTGGGTTTCACTTCAAGGGCGTTTTTTGGAAATTGCCTCTTCAAATCGGGAAAAGAATTTTTTTTCTTTTTTTTTTGGGGTCATAAATTGGAAAAGATTGAACTCGTGCGTGCTATTGAAGCAGACACAGAAGCCATTTTCCTTACAGATGAAAATTACAATAGGAACAATAAAAATAATCTTATTAATAATTCCCATCATCATTATTATTATTATAAATATTATTTACTTTTTTTTTGCTAGAAAATATAAATATTATTTACTTGAGCCGCAGGTACAACAAAGTCGAAGTAGCCGCCATACGCAAACGGAGAGGCTTCGTTCCCTCAAGAAGAAGTCGCTCGATTCTTCATTCCTCCGGCCGCCGCCGCTGCCGCCGCCGCCGTCGCCGCCGCCTCTCTCGCTCGCGAAGAAACCGAAACCCTAAATCTCGGAGCTTTACGCCAGCGGAGACGAGACAATGTCCTTCCGGAGCTCCGATCGAAACTCCGAATCGCCGGAGCGCCACGAGCAGGACCGCCTCTACAACCCCTACAAGGACCTCCAGGCCCCGATCCAAACCCTCTACAAGCTCCCCACCTCCCCGGAGTTCCTCTTCGCCGAGGAGTCCCTCCGCCAGCGCCGCTCCTGGGGCGAGAACCTCACCTTCTACACCGGCATCGGCTACCTCTCCGGCTCCGTCGCCGGCGCCTCCTCCGGCTTCTTCTCCGGCGTCAGGGCCATCGAGCCCTCCGACACCCTCAAGCTCAGGATCAACCGGTTGCTCAACGCCTCGGGGCACTCCGGCCGCGCCTGGGGGAACCGGCTGGGAGTGATCGGCCTCATGTACGCGGGGCTGGAGAGCGGGATCGTGGCCGTGAGGGACGAGGACGATTTGTGGAGTAGCGTCGGGGCGGGGCTCGGGACGGGAGCGATTTATAGGGCGGCCAGGGGCGTAAGGTCGGCCGCAGTGGCGGGCGCTGTTGGGGGATTGGCGGCAGCCGCAGCAGTTGCTGGGAAGCAGGCCCTGAAGCGATACGTGCCGGTCTAGGGTGTGAGTTCTTTATGCCTTTGTGATTCGAGGAAGTCATGGATTGTTTTATTGAGTTAGTGATGAATCGTAAGAGAAAGATGGTTGCTGCATTCTAGTAGTATTAGTTAAAGAGCTATTATACTGTATCTATCGCGATTTCATCTATAATGATGGTTAGCATAAAGGTATGCATTTTTGTTGTTGTGCCGGAAAAGTGTATCAATCTTAGCTGTTGGAATTGTGTTGTCTGATGAATACTTAATGAAGGCAGAATGCCTTCTTTCGCTAGACGATCTGAGGCATTTTTTACCTGTGTTCATGCTGAAATAAAAGGCATCATTTTGGAAAGATTTCATGTGTCATTTTCAAAGGGGCCTTTTCCAGATGAATTTGCCTTTTACAGAGAGGTTTATACTCATATACCTTAAAATGAGGTATCTTGTGCAAGATCAATAGAGAGATAACTGAGGAGAATAATGGCAGCTGAAGTAACCTAGTATGTTTTAAGGACATTTTAGTCTCTGCCGTGTGCTTGAAAAGTGTTAAAGCATTAGGAAGGATTACTTGCCTTTACAAGAGGACTCAGTAACGAGCATGATAAAAATAAGGAGTAAAATCACGTTCTTACATACTTTTGTATAAGTTCTTTTGTTAGATACTGTTAACTCTATGCATAATAATGAAATGATAGTAGAAGTTATAATAACGTCATCCTTTTTATAACCTTAGGAGAAGATTAGAGTGTGCAGTATTTCATACACTCATCTTTCCTCTCCAGCGATTCCCAGAACGATAGGTTGAGATTTAGGTTATATCCCATATGTAAAATTTGCCCGACGAGCCACTTAGTCGTGTGATACTCATTGCTGTCAAGGAATAGTGAACTTTTTTCTCATTCAGTGAGACTCCCCTCTATATAGAATTTAGTATGTATGAAACATTAGATCATTGGAACTTAATTTTGGTTAGAGACTTTCAAAGACTAATCAAGGCCGGGCGCCCTTGGTTGTTGCTTGTCAACATTCTAAAGTTCAGCTTCTAACTTGTTTCTTTTTTCTGTCGCCTCCTTCGTGCTGGACAAATAGTCTTTGGTGCATGATGTGTTCTATCTTGGGTCTTAGCTAGGCAGCATCTAGACTGACCTAGGTAGTTTTTTTTCTTGCTGAGTGCTTGTGAAAAGAAGAGAACTTTGTCGGAAGAGATGAGGACCAAGTAATGAGTGCAACAAAATTGGAGAAGGAACTGAAAGGTTGTGTTTTTACATATGTTGATAAGTATTTATGGTTCATTTGAGGAGACTTGGATCTTGTGCGTGATTTAGAACTGGCTCTCTATATTCTCGTTGGATAAGAGTCTACGATTTAAAACATGTTTGAGCCTCATCTTGGAGTGACCTCTATTTCAGCAATGGAATTTACCTACATATTAATGTTTTAAGGAGATAATGACTTCACTGTGTGCATAACTTCAATTTTCAATATTTTTTTCTATTTATTCCGAGGATAGGTCAAGATTTAATTTATACATACTAAAGTTTGTGAGCATAAGCTTCTTTACTGTACATTTGTTAGTTTTATTTATATGGCAAGACAAAACTGTTTTACTGGATAACTTCCAGCTCACAGTAGTAACTGTCATGACAATAGAGATGTAGATGAATGTTCAGTTGTTTAGATGATGTGATGCACCTGTTATACATACAATATGCTAAGACTAGCAACCGTTTGGTCCGATAAACAAAAGGAGGTGATTTTGTCCCCAGTAAAACTTTGATGTAGGTGGCATCAGTTTGGATTTGAATGAACCATTAGAGTTTGATTTCTTATGCTACAGCCAGTACATGTCTATCACTAGTTTATAGTTCTGCATGTCTATCAATAGTTTATAGTTCTGCCTTGTTGAGAATTTGCTGGATGTTCTACCTGAAATTTAGTTCTTTCAAAATCTACTCAGTGTTCTATCATGAAATGGAAACTTCCCCAGGTAGAAGGTAAGGCTTGGGTCAGTATGCGATAGGTGACAGTAGTGAACAGTATGGACTCCCTGTATGGAGGTTTAAAGATCAATTTACAGTTTTGACTTATAAATCCACATTATAGTGTTGCTTGAATATGATTGGCATAAGTACTCGAATGGCGAAATTTTATATTTTGTTGGTCTGAAAAGAAATGTATGAATTAAATCTTGACCTGTCATCGGAATAAATGGAAAAAACATTGAAAATTGAAGTTATGCACCGAGTGAGATCATTATTTCCTTAAAATATTAATATGTAGGTAAAATTTCATAGCTGAAATAGAGGTCTGCTCATAATCAAGAAGATTAGGCTGAACATGATTTAATTCCTAGACTCCTATCCAACGAGAGTCAATATGTTTTAAGTCCTAGACTCCTATCCAACGAGAATATAGAGAGCATATGGATAGCTAGTCTATCCAACGAGAATATAGAGAGCAAATGGACAGCTAGTTCTAGATCCTGTACAAGATCCAAGTCTCCTCAAATCGACACTAAATACTAGTCAACTTATGTAAAAACACAATCTTTCAATTCCTACTCCAATTTTGTTGCGCTCATCACTCAATCGATCTGTTTCGACAAAGTTCTCTTCTTTTGTCAAGCATTTAGCAGGAAAAGTAACTACTTAGGTCAGTCTTTTGTATTTTAGAGACTTGCAAGTGGCAAAGAAACAAGTTTGAGCATTCTAAGCTGGATCACAGTTTAGAATGTTGATAAGCTACAATTACGAACAACTAGACTTGATTAGTCTTTGAAAGTCACTAACTAGACCTATTGAATATTTCATACATACTACATTCTATAAAGAGGGAGTCTCATAAGGAAAAAGTTCGCTATTCGTTGAGAGCAATGAGTATCACACGACCAAGTGGACTCATGAGGCAAATTTTACATGGAGGACATAACCTAAAGTTCAACCTATTGTTCTGGGAATCACTGGATTCTGCCTATTGTAGATGCACACATCATTTTGAACTCAAGATGCAGGCTGTTGTTTGGTGCCGAATCTGCTCCGTGAAGGAAGACCCAACGGAGTCCATTTGCCAGGCATCCTGGCGTCAACATTGCTGGACAAGAAGTGGGAAAAGAAAAAGGTATACATCATTATGGGGATGAAGGAACAGGATATGATGAAGATTTGAGCATATACTCATTAGCAGCATCGGTCACTTTTTTTCTTCTTATTTTTCCTTTTGGCTTTGAAAATATTTATTAAATCTTTCTGTCAAACATTTGAGCGAAATTTTACTTTTTAAATTCTATAATGAGCAGCACTGCTTCCGGTGCAATATTTTCTGGTCTGAAGTCACCACGTTTTGGAGTCTGTTAATCTCAAAATTGCTCCTGTTGAACCTATTTGAGTCGAGAGTGCAGATGTTGCCATGTTAGTGTAGAATTGACAGCGTGATGTGTATTGAGATTGCATTCGGCCAGACATAAAGTGTGAAGTTACTGAAAGCAGCTACATGAGCATGGCAACTGAGCGTTTGATACTAAGGGATGACATAATACCCTGAATTGCCAGTGCGCAAATCTAGTGAAAAGGTTGACCCGTTGCGTATCTATTTTGCTTGAAATGAACATCAGTCGTTAGTCATAGCAGACGTATGCTGTGTTCTAGGCGAAATTATAGTTTATGAGTCTAGCTTATCCTAGAATTACTTCTCTCTGGTGAAACGGAGTGAGATTTCCATCGGAGCTGCTTTGATCGTAGTAATCAACTCGATTCAATCAATGCGAAACCAGGAAGTTTCCACTTTTCGTAAGGCCCATATTTGATGAATTTGATAGCGGATTTACCCAGATTACCAGCTCAGTTAATCCCTCTGACGAGCCTGTAGGGAGCGTTGTAGATCCACAGGACAACGAGCTTCTGGTATAAATCTAGTTCAAAGTTCAACATTTGTTCGAATTCGAGACTACCAATTGCAGTAGCTCAAAGCATTGTGCCTTACGCTGGTTCACTTCCTGATACAGGATTTGGATATGCAACATCATGCTGTCTCCTTACCTAAGGGCAATTTCTTAACAAAATTTGAGCAATTAATCAATCAAAAGATAGCGAACAATGAAAACATAGGGACAGCAAAGACAAATTCGACAGCCTCATATTACGCCCATTCAAGGGATTATTACTCAGCAAAAAAAATCAAAACTCAGTGATGGCTTCCTCGCCTCAACCTCGACTTTATTCGAGAGCAAAAGTGGGCCTTTAACTATGGAGAAAACACGAACCGGGAGGAACTGAATGATACAACGAGCAATTGGGACTTGAACTCAGGAGAACAATTTGAAACAATGACACCCCTCATCCTGATCTGCCATCTTGAAAGAATATGTAAAAGGGAAAAGCAGTGACCGAGATTTAAAGCAACATGGACTCTGGATTTTCAATGTAGCCCTTGAATGCTTTCAACCACTCGGCTCCGATAGCACCTGAGTAGAAGGCCAAATTAACATCGTGATGATTTACAATAACCACAAATAAGGTATTCCAAACTTAGATGTGTTGCGGCTTTAAATTTAAGAATTGAGCAGAAATCTAACTACAGCTGCAGATATTCATGTTTTTGGGAGCCTTGGTGCCTCTGTGAAGTACTTACCATCAATTACACGATGATCACAACTTAGAGTCACTGACATGAAGGATGCAAACTTGTAGTCACCGGGGCTTGAGCCGGGTACAACCCTCTTCTCAGCTACGCAAAATCAGAGTTTCACTGTCAGAACGACTAACTATAGTTTAACCAAAGGAAAATTATAAAGGGCCTATCTTACCAGACCCCACTGCAAGAATGCCTGACTGAGGTGGATTTATGATGGCACAGAATTGCTTGATACCAAATGGTCCACCCAAGTTGGATACTGTAAATGTTCCTCCCTGGAAAACGGAAAATGCATGTATTTTGACAAAATATATCAAGAAACAATCAAACTGTGACAATTAACCACCACTAGTTAAGAAAACATCATTAAAATGCTCGCCTCATAATCTTCTGGCTTCAAGCTGTTCTCTTTGGCCTTCTGGGCCAGATGTTTGACCTCTTCTCCAATCTTAGAGAGGCCTTTCTTGTCAGCATCCTGCACAATTACCAATGACACAAATTTATGTTGAAGTCAGTTTCGAACTCACAGGGTAACCATGGAAAGACAATCCCATATTCCATATGACTGCTCACCCTTATAACAGGGACATATAGCCCGTTATCTGTTTGCACTGCTACATTTATATTTACATTGTGATACCTGAAGAGATATGAGAAGAGATATTACACCACAAACTACCAAAACGAAGTTTAACTTAAGGATCATGAACTTACTGGCGGATGCAATCATCGGTCCATGAACTATTGCATTGTGGGACTTTGCGAAGAGCCAGTGCAGCAGCCTGGGAAAAAAGGCACTCTCAATCAATAGTAACAATTACAAATCAATTGAGACAGAGTATTTCAAACGTATCATCTCACAAGAAAATTGTGAGAGGCACACAAGAAATGTGTCATTTTTCTTGTGTGCCTCTCTCAGAATTTGCAGGTAAACAGGACGGTTGACAAGCTTAAGGGGGTAAGTAACAAGTAGCGGCCAAAGATAATCTCATTGCATCTGATACTTGCACCTCAGCAAAAGTAGAGCATCTAGAATATTAACCAAAAAGGGGCAGACTAATTTAACATCCTTCCCAGTTTGTCAAAAGCTTCAATACCTTAATTACAAGATCATTCACCGATATCCTCTTTCCACCCAAGCTCTCTTGCAATAAGTTCAGTTGACTACGCAAGCTGCAGGAGAGTGATGATTTAGCTTGAGATGGAACAATAGAATTCTCTACAGTAACTGATCGCCAGGTTTATACTCACTCCATTAATTTGTCAACACATGTATCCACTGTCAAATAGTAATGAGGTATAGTTTGCTTTGAGAATAGCAAGCGTGAAGCTGTGATCTGTCATAACACATTGAAATTAATAAAATCACAATCTTAAAAGGATGGGGTAAAATAGAAATCTTTGAGCAAAAGGAAGATATCACTATTAAAATTCTCTGGGGTTAAGGCAGAGTCTGAAAGAAACAAAGCATACATGGCCATCAGGCAATAAGCTTGCCATATCGCAATGATGATGTAAAAAATGAGTAACTGAATATTACCTTCCTTATTTGAGAATGTGGAATGTCTGTGTAGTCCAAATCTGGAGCGGTAGCAACCTTCTGCTTAGAAGCTGCAGCTGGAACTTCCATCCTACCAGAAGCTGCATTGTAAAGGAAATGTCAGTAAGCCACCCAATAATGCAGCGAAAACACCCAGAAACAAAACAAGTCATGCACTACAAAAGAACAGTGCTTTTGACTCCAGAATTAAAAAAAAGCAATTACAACATTAACCAAACTAATGAATGAGGAAAGCGTCTCCACTTAATACCCAAGTAATCTTCTATATCAGCCTTCACGATAAGACCATCAGGACCGGTTCCTTTGATGCTTGAAAGAGGAACCTGAATTGATATAGAAGAAAATGAGGTGACAGGCCTGCTTAAAGACACATCAAGTTGCCAAACTAATTCTACCAACTAACTTTGTGATCTTCAGCCATTTTTCTTGCGATAGGGCTAGCAAAAATGCGGTCCTCAGAAGCAACCAAACTTGGCCGGGAAACTTTTGGCTCTGGAGCTTTAGGAAGCTCTTCAATTACTTCTTTTTTGGGTGTGGAAGGCTCAGATTTATCTGCAGAAACCTTGTCCTCTGAAGCTGAAGGACTGTAATCTTTGAACTTCTGAATGTCCTCCTCATCTTCGACAGTGATAGCAATCACCTGGATGAAAAGACACGAAAGAATAAATGATACATAAAAATAAGTTGCTAACAATATATTTATATAAGCTTCATGAGTAACAGCTAAGAACATTATTCATAAGCATCTCTGCACAAAAGATTTTAGCAGAGCTGAAACATAAATGACAAGGACTTTTTAAAATAAGAGCAATACCTCACCGACTTTAATTTCTTTTGATCCATCTCCTTTAACTATCTTAGCAAGATAACCTTCCTCCATGCATTCCATCTCAACCGTAGCTTTGTCCTTTAATACCAGAATGTGTCAATTTTAAAACAAAAGCAAAGCACAAATGTCTTAACTATTTGACAGATACCAGAAAACTAGTAGCTCGTGAGACATACAGTTTCCACTTCACAAAGTACTTCACCAGGAGACATCTTGTCACCTTCTTTTTTTAACCATCTTGCAATGTTTCCCTGAATTTTATTAAAAAAGACAGAAAATGTTAGGATTGGAAAACATGCTTAAAGGTCTGTGAGAATACGAATAAATGCCGATGAACAACAAGAATCCATGCCTCGGTCATTGTAGGTGAGAGAGAAGGCATCCCGATTTCTTGGTGTGGTGGAAGTCCTGAAAATTGTTGCCCAAAATTGTTATTGATTAAAACAACACAAGAAAAGGGCAAGAATTTCGGTAATATTACAAATAAGTACAGAGTTTATACATACTGAACCGCTCATAACTCCATAAAATTGATGATTTCAAAGTAGAAAGAAAAAGGGCAAAATCTCGCAAATGACAGAAGTGCCAAAATTGCTTGGCTAACAGTTAAAAGTTCAAGAACTTAAATTAAAAAAAGGAAGCTACGAGGACATCTTTCAAGGTCGCCTAACAAGTACAAGGTTCTGCAGGCAAGGTAATTCATCATTGAACAAACGACCATTAAAAAAATTGTAGAACTACATCGGCCATTCGATTTAAAATACAAAAAATCAGCTTTCAAAGGAACCAACATAAATAAACAATAAAACAACTATAAACTAGAATCATTTGCATGGCAGAAATTATGACTTGCACCCAAAGTAGTGAGTAGAATCCACACATATGTATTTGTGTTTATACAACAATACAGATTATATTTCAAAAAGCCACGAACTGTCGAACGATCACAAGTTCTAGAAATCATTGGGTTATTACCTGAGTCAGAAGACAAACCTCTCTTCAGATGCACATTTGTCCTGATATAGCAAAAACAATATATGTCAAATTTTGAAAATTTGGAGATGAGATTGCGGTTTAAAATTCAATTTATTTCCACGTGTCTTGAGATAAGGGAATGGAATGACATACAAGGAGGACTTGTTGGTCTGTAGTGACAGAGCTGGCGGATTCCCCAATTTCTTTGCCATCATCCAATGCATACTGCTCTTCAACATGGCTGGTGATGACATCTACAGTATCATGATGGTTAGTCATTTCCATGTATAAACAGAAGCAAGTACTTAAAAGGAAATATATTCCAGAAGGGGATTAGCGGGATGATGGTAATGAAGTTGAACAATGAGCATGCCAGTGACAGCATCATAGAGGGGTTTGTCAAAACGAAATTTCCAGATAATGGAAAGATTAATTAGCGTAAGCCCATCAATAAAAGGTAAGAAGGGTTAACTTACCATCCCATCATTGAGAGACTTAGAATAACACTGCTTTTCCGCAGGTACGTAGCCATGATGACGAATTCTTAAAGCATCTGAAAAACAAGATCTTTTGATTAACACATCACAGGATCCACAAGTTTGTGCAAATTTCCCTTCCTTTTTCCTTCCCTCACCCTCTCTGAAAGAAGCAATTGACAATAAACAGCCAAAATTTAACAGGGCCTTGGGGTATGGAAACTCTTTGAGGCAAGTGTGAAAGTAATCTTAAGATTTATTGACACAGATGAATACCATTACCGGTAGATCACTACTTTTTCAAGTGTACATCTAAAAAGTACAACAGCAAGCTACTTCCTCTATGTTCTATCAGATCTTCCAAGAAAACTTTACCTTAAAAATTCTTTTTTTAGTAAATATCATAAGCGTGCTGATCATAAACAACTACATGACGAGGTCACATAAATAACTTCTCAGAGTTCAGATTTGATAAGCAATCAAAGCAGAACACAGAGGCAGATATGGAGGTTGATTTGAACCCTATAACAGAAGTGAATGCAAGGCTGGACAAAATATAGAAATTTACTCGCATTACAAAGGGGTGAAATCTTACGATGTGACACTTCTCTTCCATTTAATGATGGAGAATAGTCAGAATTAACCACTAGTACTATTATGAGCCCACTGGTAGACATGAAATTCTATTGGGGCATGCCACGATCATAAATCTAGGCAACAAGAACGAGGTTTACATGCATCCATGAATTACTTTATAAGCACCCCATTTAAAGAGGAAAGCAATATGGTACATGTGCAACTGCGACATATCTATCATATTCCAAAGCGAGGACTCCAAATATCGACCATTGAACAGGTAAAACCAGAAATATTGCCGAGATGAGCAACGACAACAGTTCTAGAACTATACTCGGGCACATTTTACAATATGAACATCAAGCAAAATAAGATCAACCGATTGAAACGCATTCATCATCTAAAACATATTGTAATGCTTTACTTTTTTCCAGATTTTGAAACAGGTCTTTGTCAATCTGTCTGAAGATGTTTTTAGGAGCAGATATTCACCATAAACCTGAGACTATGGTGACCTCACACATTTCGTTCAAGTTCTAGCAAAGTAGATGCCAATGTATTGCATAATAATATTGTACATATCACACTGAATGGACCTAATTAGCTTAATAGGTAGGACAATAAAGGAACAGACTATATGATCTTCACAAAAGCCTCGCCAAAGCAACAAATTTCCTCAGTTACACTGAAGAGGTCTTTCCACAACAATAATCACCCTCACCCTGATAGATACATAAGCAAGGCTAATGGAAAACATCAACTGGAGGGGCCGTATACAGAAATGGTTCAAATAACTAGCTGCTCTAAACTGATTAAATTGACTACATACCATCTCTTTTACTGGAAACCGTATGAGAACTGTTTGTTATCCACCGAACAAAAAGGGCATTCTCTTGCCTTAGTAGCGCAGAGACATTCCGTAACTGCACAAATCAATATTTTGTGAGGAGCTCAATGCGTGTAGTACTTTGAAATCTAAAACAACAAATACCAGATATCGCGCGCCGGGAAAACTAGCTAACAAAAAGTTGAAATCCATAGCATAACAAAGAAATAGAAAAACAGGTATAGAAGACAACCATTAAGCTCAGAAAGTAACCAAACAAAATGGGAAAAAAAGAGAGGAAAAAGCTCAATGAAAAACCATTGCAGGTTTTCAAATCCCATTTCATAAAAATTGTCAAGGACCAAGAAAGCATCATGACATGGCTGCCGGTAACCAAAAAAGAAAATTTAGTTCAATTTCAGGAACAAAAACAGCTTTCGCCAAGCAATTGCCGAGCTTTAGATATAAGCTCAAACCAGTAGTCAATCCAAAGAAGACGCCGCATGATGGCATTGAACAAAAGATCCTCGACAAAACGTGAGCAGGACGTGCCAAAGCCAATTTCGTACCCACTCGATCAAGACACGGTTTACCGAAACCCAAAGAGCACGAAATCAACTCCTACGAACTAACGACGAGGGCACGATCCTCGCAGATTGAAACCGGTCCAAAATGAACACGCGAAACCCGCATCTAAAGCGAGAGCAAATCGAGAAATCCACAATTTGGCGCTCTCGTTCCCTATCCCGACGAAAACGAACAACAGCCGCCGCGCCACGGAGCACGAACATCCGACGCAATCGGGCAATTCACCCCCGAACAGAGACGGAAACGCACGCACGCACGCACGCCATTTCCGCGCCTCTACCTTTCTCGAGTGATTGATGACGCGAGATGCGCAAGTCATTTTTCGGGTTTCGCCGCCCCTCCCACGTCGCCGGCACACCTCCGGAGCAACAGAGAGAGATCCACGGGGAGCCGGAAGCCGAGAGCGGAGGAGATCCGATTCGCAGCGAGAGGAGGACGATTGCGCAATCCCGGGGCGTGCGAATTTCTAGGGTTTGCTGCAGGTCAAACACGACGTCGAGGGAGATCGCGCAGTACCACACTGACTCTTCTATTCGTTCGTTTAATTCTTTTTGCCCGTTGTCGGCTCTCGTGCATTTTCTTTTTTCTTTTTTTTTACACTCTCGGGAGGATTTAAAAAAAATATTAATTTTTTTTTTTACGTGATATGACGTTTGCAGTTGCTTGTTATTAGCGGACAGGAGGAGGCGCGAAGAGAAAACGGAATCGTGTCCGAGAAGAAATCTGGGCCGTTCTTTTTCTTTTCTTTGGGTCGACAGAGAAGAAATCTGGGCCGTTCGCGTGGTCCGAAAGGGCTTTTCGTTTTGGAGGTGTGTGGGAAGGTAGGATGTGTATGGGTTGGCAGCTACAATTCTGGGTTTTTTTTTTTTGGTCAAACAGCTACAATTCTGGGTTGACCAGGAAGTTTTTTTTTTTAAATGATTACTATTCTTCATTTACTTGAAAAAGAGGCGTGCTCTGTATATGTACACATTTAATGGAAAATGTCAAATTGTGTCGCTTCCATTGGGGCCCGTACATATTCGTTTTTCTTCTAGTGTAAATGGAAGAGGTAAAATTGGCCGAATTAAAATAATGAAAATGTTAAATAAAACAATTTGATTACCCACACTCACTTAAGAAAATGTACTTGATAAAGTTATCTGGGAAAATTCCAAATAAGGCTCATAGGTGTCATCATTTTCTTAAATAATTGCATGGATCTTGTTTTAATTAAGGGTCTGAAGTGCCCTTAATTTCTCAAATAAAGATTTGGAGTGGACATTATTTCAATTAATGATCTGAAGTGGCCATATTAGTATCAAAGAAAGGCCTGATCTCACTAACTGGTCAATGTCATTTTTGTTCTTTTTTTTTTCTCTTTTTTCTACTATAAAAAAGAAACAGAGGCTAATTTTTTTAAAAAAAAAGAAAACATAAAAAATAGGAGAGAAGGAATATTAGCCTTTTTTCTTTTTTATGGAAAGAAAAAAGTAAAGGATAAAAACGCCATTGATCAACCGCCGAGGTTAGGTTCTTCTTTGAGACTGACATGATCGATTCAAGTCCTTAATTGATATAAGATCCATTTCAGATCCTTATTTGAGAAATTGAGGACACTTTGGGTCCTTAATTGAAATAAAGTCAACTTCATATCCTTATTTGAGAAAATAATAACACTTCATACTTTTATTTAGAATTTTCTTATTTAATTGTTCTTATAGTGCAATCAACCTTCTCGTTGTCCTCTATATGAATAGTTGGTGTACTCTTTCGTTTTATTTTTTAAACGGTAAATACATGTTTATTTTTAGTTCTTGAAAAAGTAGCAAAACATTCCGACAATGTTTTCTTTTTAGAAAAGAACTTACGTAGTATTAAAAGGAAGGGAAAATGACACAAACAGTCCCTGAATTTTAATTCAATGTGCAATTTGATTCATGAATTTTTAATTTATTTAATATAGTCCCTGAACTTTAGCCTAATGTTTAATTTGGTCTCTGAACTTTTGATTTGTTCAATGTGGTCCCTGAACTTTTAGTGTATGTTTAATTTAGTCCCTACACTATTTGAAAATGTCCAATATAGTCTTTCAACTAATTCAAGTTCATGGACTACATTAGATATTTTCATATAGTTTATGGACTAAATTGAACATATACTAAAAGTTCAGGAACCACATTAAACAAATTAAAAATTGAGGGACCAAATTGAAAATTAGGCTAAAGATCATGAACTATATTGAACAAATTAAAAGTTTATGGATCAAATTGCACATTGGATTAAAGTTCAGGGACTGTTTGTGTCATTATCCCTAAAAGGAAAAACTAACGTCGAGTTGTATTTTATTTTAATTTTATTGTGCTATTAATCTTACTATTAGCACATGACGTTGCACAAGGAACAAAAATTATTCACGCGCGCGCGAAAACCAGTTATTATTAATACGATCATTATTTCGTTTTTTCAAATCATTAACTTATTTGGTTCCACAACTGGGCTCTTGGCCTTTGGTGAACCAGAAGGGGCGAATGTTGATGCGAATGTTAAATATATAGGAGGTACATTGGAAGAAGAATGATAGACGCTTGTGTGAAATTTATGTTAGGTTAGATCTCTACCATACATAAAGTAATTTTTTTTTATAGAACTAGTTTTCTCTCGAAAATTCCATGAAGATTAATACAAATGATGGGAAATGAATTATAATTCTATCTCGTCATACTATAAGCAAAACTGTAACGTGATAGACGATAATCCCATAAATCTCTAGTAATATTTTAAATTGAAATCTTCCATGTTAGAATTACCATATAATCTCACAAGTGTCCGGAAACTTGAATTCTAAATCTCTCTAAAGTAAGGATTATAGAGGAAATAATCGAAAAAGTCATAAATTTAGTGCATTTATGCAAATTCAATATTAAGCTTTTCAATTTGACCAAATTAATCCTAAATATCTTGACGATTTGCCAATTTAATAATAAACCTTTACACAATTTGCCAATTTAGTCCTAAACCTTTTGACGATTTGCTAATTTAGTCCTTTAGGCTAATTTTGGTCAGACAACACTGATGTTGCAGTCTAGTCTACACGGGCCCCTCGACATAGCACATTTGGCGTCGACTTGGATAACTTTTTGTAATTTTTTTAATTTTCTGAATTTTTTTCTTTTTACTTCTTTTTGCCATTTCCCTTTTATTCTCCACTGGCCGTTGCTGAGGCCTGGCGATGGCTAGCGGAGGGAAAAAGGAAAAAAATAAAAAAGAAACAAAAAGAATAATAAATTTGGAATATAAAAGATTGAAAAAATTGTCTATGTCAGCGTTGGCTGAACCACGTAGGATGATCAACACTGACTAGATCGTCACGTTAACGATTTCTGGTTAAAATTAGTCGAAAAGGGCCGAAATCAACGGATCGTAAAAAGATTTAGGACTAAATTAGCAAATTATTAAAAGGTTTAGGACTAAATTAGTGCAATTGAAAGGTTTAGACTTAATTGGCAAATCGTTAAAAGGTTTAGGACTAAATTGGCCGAATCAAAAGGTTTAAGATTGAATGCACAAGTGTAATAGGTCAATGACTTTTTTTAGTAGTTTTCCCAAAATCGTAATTTGACGGATAATGATCTCATAAATCTCTCAAAATTTTTTGTGTAAAATCTTCCTATCTAGAATTATCACATAATTCCACAAGTCTCCAGAAACTTGAATTTCAAATCTCTCCGTGTAACAACTATTAGACCCAATTGCCAAAATTGTCTGAACCCTATCAAAATTCCCTTTCATTCAAATATATTTGAAAGTTCAATCTTAACACACAATACTGAGCATGTAAAGGGGCCAAAAAAGCCCAAACAACCATGCAATGGTACTCTTCGGCGCACAAATACCCACTTGATCGCCTAAAGGCTAAAATTAGAGGAACTAATCCTGCCAAAGGTTGGAATCGTATGACTGCAAATGAGCTGTCTCGCAAAGCAAGTTGGCTAATCAATAGACACAAGCACGTACTACCGTCCCTGTGAACATGTACAGAGACAATTCGTCCCTAGTCATGTGTAAGTGTAAGTATTACTTAAGGGGGAATATGGTTTTAGGTCCTCGTCGAACAATTTCAGTACTCGTGTACTAATCACGACCAAGTCTCATTTCTGATAACCATAACCAGTCATAAGATCGAGGTGCATGTACACGCATGTACATGCATGTGCTCGTTAATCTGAATCCAAACTCCAAGCATTCAGGACACCAATTACTTCAGACATGGAAAAACGAAGTACATTTATGGTACATGCAAGAAGCTTAGCATTAGGGGTGAGAATGGTCTGGGTAGGCAGTTCCTAACATTGAACCGGAATCCACCCGCTAAGGACCGGTCCCGAAAAATTAGAACTGGAAACTGCCCGTTGGTTCCATAGATTCACCCGAGAACAGGACTGCTAAGCTTCACACAAATGGAGGTAACAGAGAGCGAGATAGGGAGGCGATGAACGGCTGGAGGCGCGGCCATGAGTTAATGGGAGTTGAGAGTCGAGGTGTGAGTCAATGGGCGATGAGCTTAAGAGTCGATACTATGAATGAGAGATAGAGAGACGACTCAGACAAAATGAGAGTGAAACGAGATTAACACTGAGTTGATGAGCGTTGGGCTTTAGATTAAAGATTTTAGGGTTTTCATTTTTCTTAAATTTTTTTTGTTGGAAATTTTTCTTAAAAATTATATATATATATTACTAGTTCGGTCCGGATGGGTGGTACCACGTCTAGAACTAGAAACCGGGAACCAGACCTGTCTCCACGGGAACCGTCGGTTCCGTTCTAGTCTGGTTCCTTTGCACACTCCTACTTAAGCATGCAAGAAAGCTATACCCAAAGTAACTTTTGTTTGTTGGGTTTAGGCATACAACTCTGCTACGAAAAAATGTGGAACGATGAAGAAGCCTATCTTTGCTTGCAAAGCCACATGCACTGTGCAAAAAGCTTGGAAAAATTACTCAGTCGGCCCTAAATCTATTGTACGGATGTCAATTATGTTGAAAATTTTTCAATTTTGTCAATTTAGTCCTAAATTTTTGCCTGACATTCTAATATAGTCTTTTGAATCAATTTTTGGCAAAAATTACTGATATGACGGTCCAGTCATTACTGGCCGTCCTACATGGCACGCAGTCACGTTAGTGATCTCCGGCAATAATTGGTTGGAAGGACTGCATTGAAATTTCGCGCAAAAGTATAAGGTTAAATTGGTAAAATTAAAAGGTTTAGTACTAAATTAACATTTGTATAATAAATTTATGATTGATCGGATAATTTTCTTTAAAAAGCTTCCCATGCAAAGTTTTGTTGAAATCGTATCAAATAGTGTTTGGGAACATGAGTAGACTCAAGACTTTTCAAGAGCCATCATCATCTTCCTTTCTCGCCCCCTCATGCTTGACCCGAGGTCTTAAATGATCATTATTCGATTTTCAAATCACGAGGGAAAGAGAATGATGGACGCTTATGTGTTGGCTCTTTGTCTTTCCAGTTAGCATTGCCACATAACCCTCAACAAGTTTTCAGAAACTCGAATTTTAAATCTATCAATGTGTTGTCAAAATTATGACGGTCCAATCATCGCCGGCTGTCCTACATGGCACGCAGTCACGTCAACAATCTCCGATAATAATTGGCTGGAAGGGCTACATTGAAATTTCGCGCAAAAGTATAAGGTCAAATTGGCAAAATTGAAAAGTTTAGTACTAAATTATCATTTGGATAATAAATTTATGATCGATCAGATAATTTTCCTTAAAAAGCTTCTCATGCAAAGTTTTGTCGAAATCGTATCAAATAGTGTTTGGGAACACGAGGAGACTCGAGACTTTTCAAGAGCCATCTTCCTTTCTCGCCCCCGTTTGCTTGACCCGAGGTCTTAAATGATCATTATTCGATTTTCAAATCACGAGTGAAAGAGAATGATGGACGCTTAAGTGTTGGCTCTTTGTCTTTCCAATTAGCATTGCCATAGAACCCTCAACAAGTTTTCAGAAACTCGAATTTCAAATCTATCAATGTGTTGTCAAAATTATCCGAGCCCTTTAAAAAATTTCCTTTCATCCAATACATCCGAAAATTTAATCTTACATACAATACGGAGTATTCATTTTGGAGTATTAAAAAGGGGTCAAATAACCATACAATAGCACCCTTCGCTTGTTCGGTGCACAAATACCCACTCGATCGCCTAGTTAAGGGGGTTGTGCTTTCAGGTCCTCCTCGAGTGATTTTAGTGTTCATGTGTTTCGCCGAAAATGATTCGTCGATGAAATACTTTTCACTGAAATTGGTTCTTCGGTTTAATTAAGAGGAGACGAGTTTTGTGGCAATTCCGGAAGGGAGTCTCAATGAATCCCAAGGAACAATAGAGATGCTTCATTGGAATTTAATCGACAATGAAGTACATAACACTTTGCTGGAATTTAATCGACGCGAAGTGTGATGATAAAGATACCACATTGGAATTTAATCGATGGCGATGATATCAAAACTACAACTAAGGTACAAGCCGGAATTTAATAGATGATGAAGTATCCGAAACTACGACTAAAGTACGGGAATTTAAATTGCGGAAAAGTTTAGGTAAAGATAAATTTGTATGAATGTAGAGTTTTTTGATGGGAAAAGTGCCAAAAAAGTCCTAAACCTTTTGCATTAGTGCCAATTTAGTCCTAAACCTTTTTTTGGTGCCAATTCAGTCCTAAACCTTTTGCATTGGTGCCAATTTAGTCCTAAACCTTTTTTTGGTGCCAATTAAGTCCTAAACCTTTTAAATTGGTGCCAATTCAGTTCTAAACCTTTTGTTTTTGTGCCAATTTAATCCTTCCGGCCAATTTAGACCGGAATTTGCCTACGTGGACGCCTGCCGGCCGGCGGCCGGTCACCGGCGCCGACGTGGACAACTTTAATATTTTTTTAATATTTTTTTGAATTTTTATTTTTTTCCTTTTTTTCTTTTTTTTTGGTTGTCTTCCTCCTTACTATGGCCGGTCGCCGGTCCGGCGACCGGCCGAGGCCAGAGGCCGGCGAGGGCGAGCCTCGCCTTGGTCGGGCGAGGCTCGAGCCCTCGCCGGAGGCCGCGGCGAGGGCGAGCCTCGCCATGGTCGGGCGAGCCTCGCCATGGTCGGGCGAGGCCCGACCTCGCCGGATCCGGGCGAACGCCGACCTCGCCGGATCCGGCGAGGTCGGGCCTCGCCCGACCATGGCGAGGCTCGCCCTCGCCGCGCCTCCGGCGAGGTCGGGCCTCGCCGGCGGCCGGGCGAGGCTCGACCTTGCCGGATCCGGCGAGGTCGAGCCTCGCCCGACCATGGCGAGGCTCGGCCTCGCCGGCGAGGCCGCCCTCCCCAAGTGGCCGGCGAGGTCGAGCTCGCCGGCCACCGGCCTCGGCCTGCCGGACCGGCGACCGGCCGATGATGAAGAAGAAACCAAAAAAAAGTGGAAAAAAAAAAAAAAAAGGAAAAAAATAAAAATTCAAAAAAATATTAAAATATTATTTAATTTGTCCACGTCAGCGCCGGTGACCGGCCGGCAGGCGTCCACGTCAGCAAATTCCGGTCAAAATTGACCGGAAGGACTAAATTGGCACAAAAATAAAAGGTTTAGGACTGAATTGGCACCAATTTAAAAGGTTTAGGACTTAATTGGCACCAAAAAAAGGTTTAGGACTAAATTGGCACCAATGCAAAAGGTTTAGGACTGAATTGGCACCAAAAAAAGGTTTAGGACTAAATTGGCACTAATGCAAAAGGTTTAGGACTTTTTTGGCACTTTTCCCGTTTTTTGATTGATCGAATGGGATTTACAAAGAGCACACTTGGGTATTTACAATCCTTACAGATGTCAGTTACACATGGCGGTTACTAAACTTGAAAGAAGAAACAACTCCCTTTCAGTGGTTATTGGAAGTTACTTCACAAATGAATATAACATAATCAACGAACAGTTATCTTCGTGTTGATTGCTCGCCATCGATATCGATGACTTTGTCGAGAAACTTCAAGACTCCCGGCGATAACTTCACATTATGTTGTCGATGATTTCACTGATAAGTTGATGATTCCTTTAAGTTATCGGTAATTCTGTTCATAAATGACTAGACTTTGCTCCCATCGATCAAGTCTATCACTTGTCGATAATAAAAAAAAAAAAGGCCATTTTTGGGTGTAAATATCATAGTATGTCAAACAGAACCAAACACAACCGTTCTTAAGATCAAGATGCATGTACACTGTCGTCATTCAAATACGAAAAAGGAATGCGGTCCTGCCAATCTCAATCCAAGCTCCAAACGGGATGTTGGACACCGCATATTTCAGACGAGGAAAGACCGCGTGTACGGTAACAGTGACGAAAGCATAGCCCCACGCAAACCATTGTTCGTGGGTATACGGCCGACATCTTACTTTTTCATTTTCTTGGTCGGAAAGGCAGACATCTAGCTGTGATTCGCATTACTGGGGAACGATGGAAAAAGCCCGTATTGCAAAGCGACATGCATTGTGCAACAAGCTTTATAGCATGTGAAGTTTTGGCGAAATCGGTTCAAATACTGTAGAGGAAGTACGAGGAGACCGACACTTTTCGTGGGTCCGTCGGCTTCCTCTGGGCCCCTTTTTCACACTGCCCGCGGTCACTCACCGATCGTCTTTGTTAAAGGCTCGTCTCGGACAGGATTGATTCACAAGCGTATGGGTCCTCGTCGAACAATGTCGGTACTCGTGTACTGATCACGACCACATCTCATTTTCTAATTTCCATAACCAGTCATAAGATTAAGGCGCATGTACACGCGTGTTGTCAATTAAAACAGAGAAAGGAACATGTGCTTGTTAATCTGAATCCAAACTCCAAACATTCAGGACACCAGTTATTTGAGACAAGAAAAAACAGTGTGTACGTGTGGTACACGCAAGAAATCTTAACATGCAAGAAATCTTTACCCAAAGTAACTTTTGTTTGTTGGTTTGAGGCATACAACTTCTTCGCTTTGAAAAAAATGTGGAACGATGAAGAAGCCCGTCTTGCAAAGCCACATGCATTGTGCAAAAAGCTCAGCATGTAAAGTTTTGGCGAAATCGGATCAAATAGCGCGGGAATACGAGGAAACCCAAGACTTTTCTAGAGTCATCAGCTTCGTTTCTTGCGCTTTTCACTTTACCCGAAGTCACTCACCGATCGTCATTTTAAATGCTCATCTCGAACGGGAGTGATTCACGAGTATTAAAGGTGCTCGCTTCTATATATTGCGCTCTCGGTCTCTCGTTGTTTGAAACTCTCAGTCATACTTATCATCTTCGACGGGAGAGTAAGGATTTTTTATGGCTTCAGAGACTAGTCTCAGAATGAGCAAAGGATGGTTGGTCATGGATTCTAGAGAAGGTGCAGACGCTGGTTCTAGCAGGAGGAAAGACAAGCCCAGGGACCTTACTGATATTATCTTCTCTTGGTCTCTTCGAGAAATCTTCAATATCAATCTCTACAGGGACAAGGTTCTCTTTTCTTAATCTCTTTCCTGTCTTGTTTTTCCTTTTTTTTAGGCTATATTGTTGTTCTGATCATGCTTTGGTACTATTATCAGTATAAGTTTAATGGATGTTAGCTTGAAATTTTTAAATGATGTTAGTTCCTCGCTCTTTTGCAATGGTTCTTTTGTGAGCCTTGTTATGTAAAGTAGGACTGCTGTATGGTGGAGAGTTATTAGGTGTTCGGGGATATATTTCCTCCTCTAATATGCTATATAGTGTCCTATCCGTGTAACATTGATACGACAGATGACAGAGTCGCCCGATCCATGGAGTGACGTTGGTTGGTCATGTTCGATTTTCAATACACCCGTTTTGTAGGTGGAGAGCATCCCAGAGTCATTTCAATCGGTTGCGCAATACCTTGCTTCTTATATCTTTCCTTTGCTGGAGGAAACACGAGCTGGTCTCTGTTCAAGTATGCAGAATGTATCTAGGCTGCCTTTCGCCAAAGTCACTGGGTTTGTTAAAGGCGAGAAGAATGCTTACCACGTCGAAGTGGATTACTGGAGAAACATGTCCACTTACCGTGGCAAGGAGCCTTACAAAACTTCCCCTGGAGATGTTTTGATGTTGACTAATGCTAAGCCGCATACCATTCCCAGCTTAGAAAGGTTTGCAGGAAGATGGGCATTTGCATCAGTCGGTGAGATGGTAGAAGGTGGGGACGGGGATGCTCGAACATCAACAAAGTTCAAAGTCAAGGCATTTTTTAACAATGAAATGAACGATGTTCGTGCCTGCAAGTCAATGTATGCAGTTTTCCTTATGAATGCAGTCACTAACGATAGGATATGGAATGGGCTACACAGATTGTCGAACTTGAAGATTGTAAAGGAAGTTCTATGTACAAATTCAGTGGTAAGAATTTTCTGAAATTATTATCCCCGTACAGTCAACGGTAAACATATTATTGCCGCAATAAAACTTCACCCTGATTATACAAAAGAAACTTCATTCTCTTTTGAGTTAGCTTGTTATTTCTCGAAACAGTCCAGAGAAGCTCGCTCCGGATCACATGATCACAATAAAATTCAACGCTGCAGTAATATAACCAAGATTCAATGATAGACCCTGTTTATACATCACACCATCCTTTGTGCTCAATGTTTGTGCAGGTTGTACAGGGATGCAACATAATTAATACAATTCATGGTTTCTAATCTTTACTTAGATTATTAGGGTGTCAATTTTTAAAAGATATGTGTTTGTTTGCAGGCTTTGAAAGATTGCAATCTCTGTATTACTCGAAGTCATGGCTCTGGACACGAGAGTCTTGATAAGAACTTATTTAGTAGTCTGAATGAATCTCAGACGAAAGCAGTTCTGGCTTGTCTCGATAGCATCGAGTGCCAACACAGGTCGGCTGTAGAAATGATACAGGGTCCTCCAGGGACAGGGAAGACCAATACTGTCGCAGCGCTGCTCTTTACTCTCTTGAAAAAGAAACACAGAACCCTTGTTTGTGCTCCAACAAATGTTGCCATCAAGGAATTGGCATCTCGTGTTTTGCAGCTGGTGAAACAATCGGTTTGCACAAACTCTCGTGGGGAAAGGTTGTTCTGTAACTTAGGAGACGTGCTATGTTTCGGGAACAAGGAGCGGATGAAAGTAGATTCAGATATGGAGGAAATATACTTGGATCATCGCGTTGATTGTATTGCTCAGTGCTTTTCTGTACTCACTGGTTGGCAGCGTTGTCTAACTTCCATGATCGATACTCTCAATGACTGTGTCCGTGAATACCACCTTTTACTGGAGAATGAAGGCAATATTATATTGGAGCGTAATGGTAACGAGGTTCGGAGCAAATGTAGAAGCAGCAAAAATGAATCCAAACTTGAATTTAAATCATTTCTGGATTTTTTCAAGCTCAGATTCAAGTCAAGTGCAGAGTCTCTCCGAAGATGCTTCTCCATCTTATGCACCCATATATCCAAAAGTTACCTTTTGGAGCATAATTTCCAGGATATTAAATCCCTTCTCATCTTACTCGATTCTTTTCAAATTCCACTATATAGAGAGAAGTTGGATTCGAGAAAGTTGAAGGAGGCATTTTCATCGGACCCATCTTCATTCAAAAGTTGCACAGATCCACTATATACAGCATTATCGTTGAAGAGACGTGAGTGCCTCTCTGTTTTGCAAACTCTCAATACGTCTCTTGGAAAGCTAAACCTTCCAACATTTACGTGTAAGGAAAAGATAGCGGAGTTCTGTTATCAAGCGGCTTCCTTGATTTTCTGCACTGCTTCTAGCTCATATAAGCTGTACTCCCTGGAAATGGAGCCTGTCAGTTTAGTGGTGATCGATGAGGCTGCGCAGCTGAAAGAATGCGAGTCAATGATTCCGCTACAAATTCGAGGTGTCAGGAACGCAATTTTAGTTGGAGATGAATGTCAGTTGCCTGCTGTGGTTGAGAGCAAGGTATGTCATCGCTGAATGTTTGTCTAGCAACGTGCACATGCATACATAAACAAGAATGATCTTATACTTAATTGACCTTAAAGTTTTTGAATGTTTTTATTTCTATAGCTTTCTAGCAAGGCTGGCTTTGGAAGGAGTCTCTTCGAAAGGTTGAGTTCTCTGGGTCATCCTAGACACCTTCTCAATGTCCAGTACAGAATGCATCCCGCAATAAGTGCCTTTCCAATATCAACCTTTTACAAAAACCAAATTCTGGATGGGCCGAATGTTACTGGCAAAAGTTACAGAAAATGTCATTTGCAGTGGCCAATGTTTGGCCCGTACTCCTTCATAGATATTCTTAATGGAAGAGAAGAAGGTGGGGATAATGGACGTAGCCTTAGAAACTACGCTGAGGTAGGAGTTGTATCGAAGATTTTGAAGAATCTATACGAAGGTATGCCGCGAGAGAATTTCGCCAGTTTATTGTTTCCTGCCAGACAGTATACATTGATGCAAATAAAGACTATATCTTTGCACATGTTTGGTTATTTATGTGGAAGCACCTTTTGCCATACTATCGTATAGCATGGGCAGCCAGTTGTTGACTGCCGAAGCTGCAAGAGAAGAATATTTCTGTTCAATCTTACCATGAAGTCTATTTAGTTTCTTGGGATGTATAGAGAGATTTGCATAGCTTTATATGCTTATTGACACGGGAGATGATATGCTTTCTTGTCATTTTTAGGTCATTAACTTAGGCTTGCAGGACACATGAGACAGGAATCGGAGGTGTACATAACACTTCCACGTTGGTGTCGTCGTAACTTGTAGGATTTATGACTTCTGTGGCACATCTAATTAGATCATATTGGTTTTTCTGCAGCATGCAAATCTTCAGGCGAAGATTTAAGTGTTGGCGTGATATCTCCATATGGAGCTCAGGTTGCTGCAATACAGCACGAAATTGGAAAAAGTTATGAAAATATCGAAGGCTTTACAGTGAAAGTGAGGACAGTGGATGGGTTTCAAGGGGGTGAAGAGGATGTCATAATAGTATCGACCGTAAGATCAAACCCTCGCGGTTCTATCGGGTTCGTTTCTGATCCTAAGAGAACCAATGTCACTATCACCAGGGCAAGGTAGTCTCTTCTATTCCTGCTTAACCGGGGCAATTTGAATTTTGCAATAAGATGTTATTTACAAACAATTTCTGCTTTTTGCTGCCTCTATGTAGATACTCTCTTTGGATATTGGGAAACGAGAGAACGCTGACGAGAAGCAAATCTGTGTGGGAAGCTTTGGTTCATGATGCCAAGAGCCGCGGGTGTTTCTTCAGCATTGATGATGTTAACGCTATTTTGGATGGGAAGAATAAACAGCTTGATGATCCAATTGATGGAAGTAGTGTACTATTTAGAAATGAGAGGTGGAGGGCAAACTGCCCTCATGATGCTAAGAGCCGAGAATGTTCCTCCAGTAGTGATGAAGTTAAAGCCATTATGGATGGGAAGAAGGAGAATATTCGGCTCGATGATCCGCTCGATGTCCTATTTAGAAATGCTCGGTGGAGGGTAAAGAACTTTGCCCGATGGTTTTCTTTGCTGTATTTGCCGGCTCAAAATGAACATTCGATTTTTGCAGAATCAATGACAATACTTTTTCTTGTCATCTGTAGGTTTTCTTCGGCGATAACTTTGTGAAGTCTTTCAGAAAGCTTACGTCACATAAGACCAAGATGTCAATCTTGGACCTCTTATCAAAACTTGCTGGTGGCTGGAGACCTGAGAAGAGCTATGTGGGTTTACTCCCTACAATCTGTTCTGATATGGTGAAGCAATTCGAGGTTGATGGTCTCTACGTGCTGTGCACTGTCGATATAGATATACTTAAGGAACCGAGATACATCCAAATCCTGAAGATTTGGGATGTATTGCCCTTAAGGGATGCAGCGAGACTGGTTAAACGTCTCGACAGTGAGTTCAAAGCATATGCAGACGATTTCATTAGTCTGTGCAACGAGAAATGTCTCGAGGGGTAAGTCTCAATTTTTTTCCGAACTTCAGATTAAAGACTTTTAAATAGTCTATACGATTCACTTTCTTGGATAAATGACCGCAAGAATGACTGGAATTGATCTTTTCCGAACTATTATCTGATTTGCGCATGTATCTTCCGTTGTATAGGGATCAGATAGTTCCAAAGACGTGGGATTCTTCTCATGGTATTGCTCGTTTCCATAGTCCGGATCAAGTTCAAGCAGGGAGTGGTTTCGGGGCCGATATTTCGAATCCGGGAACGAGCGAGAGCCTGCTTTCAATGAGATTCCACCCCTCATCATCAGGTGTGATCAGGCACTTGTTTTCGGAGGACCACGATGGCGAAGCGAATCTTGCATCTGAAGTAACCGAGCTAGATCAAGAGATGAATTCCCGATTCGGCGGGCTTCATATTTGAGCAAACCCATGTTGTTCCCCTTCTTCACAGGCAGCTTCTTTTGACAGAATCAGGGGATAACACAATTTCTTTACGAGGAATGTTTCGTTCGGGGTCGGAATTTCTGCGCCCGTGCCGGGTATTTTCGAGAAGGCGTGGACCTTCTAAATCATCTATCTTTTTCTAGTTTTATGTCTGGATATATTTGGTTGAAATAATGGCATAGAATTTTCGGTTCAGGTGTCATAACTTTATTTCTGTTTCTTTTTCGTCTCTAGTTTGTGAATTCAAATATAGGATTACATACCTAAGTCCAACAGTAACATAGACAGCAGAATCAATCGAGATTCGAGACATCCGGAATCGGCTATCCATCGTCTCGTTCATTGATTAGGCAAAAACGAACAATAATCGCACACAGCACGAACAGTCCTTGCAATCGAACCACTCACCGAACAGCGAAACGAACACCATTTGCATCCTTTCTCGAGCGATTGATGACACGAGAAGCGCAAAGCTGGAACCTCCGGAGCAAGAGATCCAAGGAGCTATAGAGATGATCCACCGAGCGGAGGAACTCTGAATCACTCGCAAATCCAGAGATGATCAAGCGAGAATGATGCGCAAATCGCTGTGGATTTTGGGGTTTCAAGCCAAACAAAGATGTTGATGGAGATCGCAGGATCGCACCAAGTTTTATCATTTGTTTAAGAGATAAGTGCACTTGAAGACACGGAAATGCAATTGACTCTTTAAACTTTTTAAAAAGTACGATCAAGTCGTAAAACTTGTCACGAAAGTGAAAATCAAGTTCTGAAATTTTTAAAAGTGTAATTAAGTCTTAAAACTTGTCACGAAAGTGTAATCAAAACTTAAAACTTTCAAAAAGTGCAATTTATGGAAGGTCTTGATTGAATCAATATGATAAGTTTTGAAACATAATTACATTTTTTGAAAGTTTTAGAATTCAATTGTACTTTCACGATAAGTTTTATGACTTTCAATGCATTTATCCCTTTCTTTAATTCTTTCCCATTTTTAGCCCTCGTGCTTTTTAATTTTATTTTTTTATCCTTCGGGGTTATAGAATCTTTCATTTTCTTTGACGCGATGTAACGTTATACAACCGCTTTATCAAAGATGGAAAAGGCATGAAGAGAGCATAATCATGTGCTGGGCACGTGTGAGAGTGAGAAGAAATCCGGGCTGTTCACACGTAGCCCTTGTGCTTTTTAATTTTATTTTTTTTATCCTTCGGGGTTATAGAATCTTTCATTTTCTTTGACGCGATGTAACGTTATACAGCCGCTTTATCAAAGATGGAAAAGGCATGAAGAGAGCATAATCATGTGCTGGGCACGTGTGAGAGTAAGAAGAAATTCGAGCTGTTCACACGTATGGTATCCTTATAAGCATGTATGTACAAAGACAATTCATTTAGGGTAGGCATAGCCGCATTGCCATATCCAACGCAAGGTTTTGTCCTTGGCACAGCGGAAGCTACTACCAAAGGGCCTCATTGGTAGTTAAGACTAGTGCTATATTTTATATAGCACATCACTTCACCTTTTCCGGGCGATGTGGGATTCGGTTCATGTCTATCTCCTTCGCCATCCTCCAGGCGGAGCCACACTCCCATCCCTCGCAAGACCAGGTCGTTACATCATCCGTCGTCACGTGTAACTGCGAAATACTCAAGGGGGACTATTGTAACAGCCCGAATTTCGATGTAATTCCGGGATCAATAAAATTAACAATATTTCGCATTTCATTTTAGTAAGTCTCGCCCAGAGCTGATCACTCTCGGGATACTAACCAATAGGGTAAGGCTAATTAGAAAGCGGTACGTGGACCAAGGATCCGATCGCGAAGCGGACATCGATCACGAGAAATGATGAGAGAATATTATGAACCCATGTGGATCGATCTTAGGAAAAGTAACGGATTTGGTTCGGCCAAGGCCAACGATGTACAATCGGATCGTAGGTGATTCTGCATGACCGAGAGTGCACGTGGCCAACCAGTCCTGAACTTAAACCGGACAATCGTGACCTCTGGAATTGGTGATAATTTCTCATTCTCTCAATGATCAGGACCGTCATGACTCGGATAACCCTAAGTCGATACGCGTAACTTCTAGACAGTCGCCCGTTAGTGAGAGACCCTGAAATTGAAAATCGAGCGAGTTTTGGTCACGAAATTGGACCCGGACTTTGATACCGATTTTCGAAGGCTTGCACGACTATTTTCACGATTCTGACGTCATATTATACTGGCCACATACGTTTGGAGTTAGTCCGGTCGAAAAATGGAATTTCGACCCGGAAGTCAAAAATTACGATTTTGCCCTTCTGGGTGCCGATGTTGATTTTTGTGCCCGTATGAGGTTATTTTTCGCGGCCAAGGTCATTTTGGGGTGGCCACGCACATTTAGAGTGGTTTCGGTCAAAAATTGGAATTTTGGCTCGGAAGTGAAAAAAATAATATTATTTTATCCCAAGAACTTGGCAGTCGATTTTCAAGAGCTTAAGAAGCTATTTTCGCGATTCCGACACCATATTATGTTGGCCACACTCATTTGGGGTTGATATAGCCAAAAATTGGAATTTCGCACCGGGACCGGAAAAATGACCATTTTGCCCCTAGGCCAAAATTAATTCCGAAAATTTTGGTAATTAAGGGAATTAAATAAATTTGGAATTATCTCAATTATTAGGGGCCAAAGACTATATTGCCCCTCAATTATTTGATCCTATCTATTTAGAACCGTTGGATCAAGGGCATTTTGGTCAAATCGTCTAGGATCGCGACACGTGGCGCAATTTGGCTGATCTTTTTGACCATCTTGGACCAGACCTCTCTCTCTCTCTTCCTCATTCTGGCCGGTTTTCCCTCTCTCTCCTCTCCCGAACTCTCTCTCTCTCTCTCTCTCTCTATCTATCTCTCTCTCTCTCTCTCTCTCGGTTCATCCTCCCGGCCGGAGCTCGCCGGACCGCCGCCGTACCGCCGCCGTCCGCCGGAGCTGTTGCCTCGCCTAACCTCACCTCATCACCATCACCCTCATCCCGACCCCTGCTTCTCTCTCTTTTTCTCTCCCTCTCCGGCCGCTCGTACGCCGTCCCCGTACGGAGTCCGTACGGCGTCCGCGCCAGCCACCGCCACCTCGCCGGCCACCGTCCCCCGCCGTCCATACAAGTCCGTACGGTGTCCCCGTACAGTCCGTACCGTCGTCCGTGCGCCCGTCCGTACGCCGTCGGCCGCCGTCGCCGCTGATTTCGCCGTTCACCGGCAATCGGCCGCTCGTTTCGCGTCGTCGTGGTCTAGAATTAAGTGAGTGTATTTTCTAAATCCGGATTAGGACTGATAGTGCATTTTCTGAACTGGGTTGAGTATTGTCGGTGTATATTGGGAAAAAATTAGAGCACCATTTGATGAGGTATATTACTAGAATAATATTGGTGATTTATTGGGCGAGCATGGTTTAGTTGAGGATTAAGTGACTGGACTGCCGGGTATGCCCGGGCTGAACGACTTGTTGATTGCTGTGCCCAATTGTGGGAATTGACTAATGCCATGTCGTGTGATTGAGTGGCCAACCATTGCGGAGTGTGATTGGCCAATTAATGGCATGAATTTGACTGGATGCCTGAAATTGTTGTTGCTCATGGTGTATTGTACTGCATTGCATGGCCACGCATTTCGAATGCCGAGAATGAGGCGTGTAATGAAATTGTGTGAGAATGCGTGCCTGCCATGAGCATGTGATCACTAATTATGCTATGATGCGTTTTACGCGGGGTTCAGATAATAAATTGGCAGTGTGTGTATGTGTGATCACAATTCGCCCTGATGCGTGTTACGCGGGGTATGCCGTCCTCATGCACTTTGAAGCAGGACGATGCCCGGTTCGTCCGAAAGACGACCATCCTGATGCGTTTTACGCGGGCTCTGGTTCGTGAGGAGATCAGTGTTGCGCCTCATGCACTTTGAAGCAGGTAAGAGGCACTAGGCCAGATCGGTGTTGCGCCTCATGCACTTTGAAGCAGGCTAGACACACCGGGCCGGGAATGGTGCTGACTCGAGTCGTAATAAATATTAACAATTGAGACAGTGTGCAGTGTGAATTGAAACGGGAGCATAGCATAACATTGACACCACATGCATAGAATGCGTGACCCGGCATGCGAAATGAACACTGTAAACATGAGCATGAGTGTGGCGCACGTGTGACAATTGTATTCGTGCACGTATCTTGAGAATTTTAATGAATTGCCTAACCTGCAGGGTAATTCTTATGTTCCATTCGGGCCCGAGGGCCCAGGTTACTGTTTGCGTATTATGTTGTTTTGCCTATTAGGAGATTGCATGTTAGCCTAACCTAGGTTTAGGGGTTATACTCATTGAAATTCGTCTCACGGTTGTAATAACCCACCTTTTCAGACCCCCAGCCATAAGAATGCCGAATTCGCCGCTTTTTGGAATACTTGTACAGATACATCAGTATACAAGTACATACCCCGCAGGAAATGGGGAATCTTATGTAAGATACCGATCCATGGTGTTTGTAAACGTGGGAGAGTATTTTCATCAGACTCAGGAGTATGTGGCTTGGTGCCTAAGAGATGTCGACGGAAACCTAGGGCAACCCCTTAGGACTTTTGATGCGCCAATCGGTCAAAATGGATTGATGGAACCCATATATGCGGATGGCGAGGTGATCAATCCTCAGGATGTTTACGATGTAGATGGCATTGATGAGCCTATAAATGGGGAGCCACAAGAGCAACAGGTGATAGCTGAAGACCAAGACTAAGTTGCCGAGGAAGAAGACGAGCTGGAGGACATGGATCTGGATTCTGATGAAGACCATGGAGAGGTAGCTGAGGTAGGGTCAGACGTGGAGATATGATCTGACGAAGAGCTGGGAGTGGACGAGGATCTCTACCTAGATCCAGAGTTAGAGCAGGACTCTGAAGACGAGCGAGCCCAAGCCGAAGATATGGATTCTGAACCGTCCGAGTCTTCAGAGAATCCTTTCGAGGAGCCGTCGGATGATACTACTGGATCTTCCGACCCTGAGTGGGAACCCTAGGTTTATCCTGAGCCGTAGCTAGTAGTGAGGGCTGGTAACTTTTTGACTGTAGCCCTCTCTTTGAGTCAGTCTGACCTCCCTAGCCACTTCCCTTTTTGACCCCGTGGCATGCTGATCGTATAGGTGTGGACTTGTATCTTTTCATGGTTATGTATGGATATTTGTAAAGAAGTTTTCAATAGCAATGTAAAGTGCAAGTATGTTTTCATCTATGTTGGTTACTTGTTTGGTTATCCTTGGCACATGTATATTCAGTCAGGGTTTATTATTTATTACTTCCGCTTGTGCTTTACTCTCTGTTTAGGCGTTGGGTCGGCGATGCTTCCTGGGACGTCGCACACAAACAAATCGACCTTTGAGTGGGATGTTACCGCTTCGTGGGGTACGGGGCGTGACAACTATGGTTTTAGGTCTCATCAAACCATCTTAGTACTCGTGTACTAATGAGCGACCAAATCTTATTTCTAATTTCCATAGCCAGTCATAAGTGCATGTACATGCGTGTGGTCATCTGAACTACAAAAATGAACGTGCGCTTGTTAATCTGTATCCGAACTCCAAACATTTCAGGACACCATTTACTTCAGACAAGGAAAAACAATGTGCGTATGGTACATGCAAGAAAGCTTAGCATCCAAGAAAGCTTACCCAAAGTAACTTTTGTTTGTTGGTTTGAGGCATACGACTCCTTCGCTTTGAAAAAAATGTGGAACGATGCAGAAGCCTGTCTTGCGACGCCGCATGCATTGTGCACAAAAGCTCGGGAAAATTATCCATTCGGTCCTAAATCTATTGCACGGATGTCTATTCGGTCCTTAACTTTTCAATTTTGCCAATTTTATCCTAAATCTTTATGCGAAATTTTAATATAATCTTTCTGATCAATTTTCGCTGAAACTGCCGACATGATGATGCGGTCATCACTGGCCATTTTACGCGGCATGCCGTCGCGTCAGCGATTTTCGGTGAAAATTGATCAGAAAGACTAATAATTTCATACGGTTTAAAACTAAAGTGGTAAAATTAAAAAGCTTAAGATTAATCGAATAATTTTTTGTAAAAAGTTTGGTAGGTAAAGTTTTGGCAAAATCATATCAAATAGCGTACGGGAATACGAGGGGACTCAAGTCTTTTCAAGGGCCATCGGCTTCCTTTCCCGCCCGCTCTTACTTGACCCGAGGAGCTCTTAAATGATCAATTATTTCATTTTTTCAAATCACGAGCGGATGTTAACTTAATAGGGTTCCACTATAATTATTAAAAATTTCACATCGATGAGTGCAAATGATGGGAAATGAGCAAAATCATAATGTGACGACAATAGTCCCATAAATCTCTCCTAATCTTTTATTAAAAGATCTTTCCAGCTAGAATTATCATACAACCTCACAAGTTTCCCAAAACTCGAATTTCAAATCTCTTCATACAGCACCCATTAGATCCAGTTGCCAAATTTATGTCCGTCCTCTGAAAAATTTCCTCTCATCCAATACATTCGAAAGTCTAACGTTACATACAATACCTAGTATTTAATAGCACTCTTCGTTTGTTCGGTGCACAGATACCCGCTCGATCTCCTAATTAAGGAACTACGGTTTTAGGTCCTCCTCGAGTGATTTAAAGTACCCATGTACGTCCAACACAACCATTCTTAGAGATCAAGATGCATGTACGCATCTGTGGTCGTTCAAATACGAAGAAGGAACGCGGGTCTTGCCAGCCTCCATCCAAGCTCCAAACATGTCGGACACCAGACGTTTCGGACGAGGGAAGACCGTGTGTACTGTGACAGTGACGAAAGCTTTAGCAATGCAAGAAAACTTAGCCCAAGCAAACCATCGTTCGTGGGTTTGAGGCACACATCTTGCTTTTTTTTCATTTTCTTGGTCGGAAAGGCAGACATCTTGCTTTGATTCGCATTAATGGGGAACGATGGAAAAAGCTCGTATTGCGAAGCGACGTGCATTGTGCAACGAGCTTTAGCAACTTAAAGTTTTGGCGAGATCGGTTCATATACTGTAAGGACGTACGAGGAGACCGAGACGTTTCCCGGGTCATCCGCTTCATCTCGCCCCTTTTTCACGCTGCCCGCGGTCACTCAGTGATCGTCTTTGTTAAAGGCTCGTCTCGGACGGGATTGATCCACAAGCGTTAAAGCTGCTCGCTTCTTCATATTTGCTCTCTCGATCTCTCGTTTGCTAGGAATTCTCAGACATATTCGTCATCTTCGACGGGAAAGTAAGGATTTAAATGGCTTTAGAGATGGGTGCTGGACTGGCCATGGATTCTACAGAAGGTGCGGAGTCTGGTTCCGGTAGTAAGAAAGACAAGCCCACTGACCTGACTGGTATCATCTTCTCTTGGTCTCTTCGAGAAATCTTCGATACGAATCTCTACAGGGACAAGGTTCTCATTTCTTAGTCTCTTTCCTTCCTTGTTTTTTCCCTTTTTTTGGGGCTATGTTTGTTGCTTTGATCATGCTTTATTACTATCATCAGTAAAAGTGTAATTGGTGTTAGCTCGAAAATGTTCTAAATGATGTTAGTTCCTTGCTCTTTCGCAATGTTTCTCTTGTGAGCATCGTAAGTAAAGTTGGACTGTTGTAAAGTGGGGAAGGACCTTGCTCTCTGTCTCTGTGTGGCGAAGTTATTGGGTGTCCGGGGATATACTTCCCATTTTAATATGCTATACGGTGTGCTATCCGTGAGACATTAATTTGCAAGACGACAGAGTTGCTTGATCTATCGAGTGAAGTTGGTTGGTCGTGTTTGATTTTCAATACACCCATTTTGTAGGTGGAGAGCATCCAGGAGTCATTTCAATCAGTTGAGCAATACTTTGCGTCTTATATCTTTCCTTTGCTGGAGGAAACACGAGCCAGTCTCTGTTCAAGTATGCAGAATGTATCTAGGCTACCATTCGCGAAAGTCACTAGGTTTGTTGAAGGCGATAAGAATGCTTACAACGTGGAAGTGGACTACTGGAGAAACAGGTCCACTGGCAATGGCAAAGAACCTTACAAAACTTTGCCTGGGGATGTTTTGATCTTAACTAATACTATGCCGGATTCCATTCAAAGCTTAGAAAGGTTTGCAGGAAGATGGGCATTTGCATCGGTCACTAAAATTCCAGAAGACGAGGACGGGGATGCTCAAACATCAACAAGGTTCAGTGTCGAAGCATTTTTGGACAATGAAGTGAATGATGAACGTACCTGGGAGTCAATGTATGCAGTTTTCTTGATAAATGCAGTCACTAACAATAGGATATGGAATGTGCTACACAGATTTGGCAACTTGAAAGTTGCAAGGGAAGTTCTGTGTACGGATTCAGCGGTAAGGACTTTAATTTTCATACTTATTATCTCCATGCGGTATACGGTAAACATATTATTGCACCAACAAAACTTCATCAATTATATAAAAAAAACTCCATTTGCTTTTGAGTTAGCTTGTTATTTCTCCAAACAGTCAAACGAAGATTGCCCAGAGTCTGGCATTCACATAAATTTCAATGCTGCAGTAGTATGACCAAGATTTAGAGATAGACCTAGTTTATACATCACAAGATCCTCTGTGCTCAATATTAGTGCAGGTTGTGCTAGGATAGAACATAATCAACAATTTTTTCACGGTTTTTAAGTTTTACTTAGGTTATTTGGGAGTGAATTTTCAAAAGAGTATGCGTTTGTTTGCAGGCTGAGAAAGATTGCAATCTCAGCGTTACTCAAAGTCATGACTCTGGGCATGAGGGTCTCGATAAGAACTTGCTTGGTAGTCTGAATGAATCCCAGACAAAAGCTGTCCTGGCATGTCTTGATACAATCGAGTGTGAACACAGGTCGGCTGTGGAAATGATACAGGGTCCTCCAGGGACAGGGAAGACCAAAACTGTCGCGGCACTGCTCTTTACTCTCTTGAAAAGGAAACACAGAACCCTTGTTTGTGCTCCAACAAATGTTGCCATCAAGGAATTGGCGTCTCGTGTTTTGCAGCTGGTAAAACAATCGGTTTGCACAAACTCTCATGGGGAACGCTTGCTCTATAACTTAGGAGACATGCTATGTTTCGGGAACAAGGAGCGGATGAAAGTAGATTCAGATATGGAGGAAATATTCTTGGATCATCGAGTTGATTGTGTTGCGCGATGCTTTTCTGTATACACTGGTTGGCGGCATTGTCTACCTTCCATGATTGATACTCTCAATGACTGTGTCCGCCAATACCACATTTTTCTGGAGAATGAACGCCAGATTATATCAAAGCCTAATGGTAATGATGTTGCAAGCAAACGTGGGAGCGGCAAAAAGGAATCCAAACCTAAATTTAAATCATTTCTGGAATTTTTCAAGCACAGATTCAGGTCAAGTGCAGAGTCTCTCCGCAGATGCTTCTCGATCTTGTGCACCCATATCTCCAAAACTTACCTGTTGGAACATAATTTCCGCGATATTGAGTCCCTTCTGATCGCACTTGATTCTTTTGAAATTTCTCTATATAGACAGAAGTTGGATTCGAGAAAGTTGAAGAAAGCATTTTCATCGGACCGATCTACATTAAAAATGTGCACAGATCCACTATATACATCATTATCGATGAAGAGACGTGAATGCCTCTCTCTTTTGCGAACTCTTAATACGTCTCTCAGAGAGCTAAACCTTGCAACATTTACGTGTAAGGAAAAGATAGCTGAGTTCTGTTATCAAGCGGCTTCCTTGATTTTCTGCACTGCCTCTAGCTCATATAAGCTCTACTCCAAGGAAATGGAGCCTGTCAGTTTATTGGTGATTGATGAGGCCGCGCAGTTGAAAGAATGCGAGTCAATAATTCCGCTAAAACTTCGCGGTGTCAGGCACGCAATTTTAGTTGGAGATGAATGTCAGTTGCCTGCAATGGTTGAGAGCAAGGTATGTCATCGCTGAATATTTGACTAGGAACGTGCACAAGCATACATAAACATGAATAGTTTTTATGCTTAATTTACCTTTAACACAAGCATTCATAAACATGAATTATTTTATGCTTAATTGACCTTTAAGTTTGTGTATATTTTTGTTCTATAGCTTTCTAGCAAGGCTGGCTTTGGAAGGAGTCTATTCGAAAGGTTGAGTTCTCTGGGTCATCCAAGGCACCGTCTCAATATCCAGTACAGAATGCATCCTGCGATAAGTCGCTTTCCAACATCCACCTTTTACGAAAACCAAATTCGGAATGGGTCGAATGTTAACTGCAAAAGTTACAGAAAATGTCATTTGCCGTGGCCAATATTTGGCCCGTACTCCTTCATAAATATTTCTAATGGAAGAGAAGAACGTGGGGATGATGGACGTAGCCTTAGAAATTATGTTGAGGTAGGAGTTGTGTCGATGATTTTGAGGAATCTATACAGAGGTACGCCATGAGAGAATTTCGCCAGATTATATCATTTCCTGCGAAATTGTATGAACTAATGCAACTAACGACTATCATTGCACTTGTTTGGTTATATGTGGATGCCCCTTTTGCTATACTGTCGTAGAGCATGGGCAGGCGGTTGTTGACAACCGAAGCTGCAAGAGAAGAATATTTTCACGTTAGTGTGATCGTAACTTCTCCCTCGTCTAATTATATCGTCTTGGTTTTTCTGCAGCATGCAGATCTTCAGGCGAAGATCTAAGTGTTGGCGTGATATCTCCATATAGAGCCCAGGTTGCCGCAATACGAAAGAAAATTGGAAAAAGATATGAAAATATCAGAGGCTTTACAGTGAAAGTGAGGTCAGTGGATGGGTTCCAAGGGGGTGAAGAAGACATTATAATAGTATCCACCGTGAGATCAAACCCTCGTGGTTTTATTGGGTTCGTTTCTGATGCTAAGAGAACCAATGTCACTATCACCAGGGCAAGGTAGTCTCTTCTATTACTGCTTAACCGGGGCAATTTGAACTTTGCAGTAAGATGTTATTTACAAACATTCCCTGCTTTTTGCTGCCTCTATGTAGATACTCTCTTTGGATTTTGGGGAATGGGAGAACGATGATGAGAAGTAAATCTGTATGGGAAGCTTTGGTTCATGACGCTAAGAGCCGTGGATGTTTCTTCAGCATTGATGATGTTAAAGCTGCTTTGGATGGGAAGAATAATCAGCTTGATGATCCGGTTGATGGAAGTAGGGTACTACTTAAAAATGTGCAGTGGAGGGCAAAGTGCTCTCAGGATGCTAGGAGCCGAGAATGTTCCTCCAGTACTGATGATGTTAAAGCCGCTTTTGATGGGAAGAATAATCAGCTTGATGATCCGGTTGATGAAAGTAGGGTACTATTTAAAAATGTGCAGTGGAGGGCAAAGTGCTCTCAGGATGCTAGGAGCCGAGAATGTTCCTCCAGTACTGATGAAGTTAAAGCCATTTTAAATGGGAAGAAAGAGAATATTCGGCTCGATGATCCGCTCGATGGCAATAGTGTCCAATTTAGAAATGCTCGGTGGAGGGTAAAGAACTTTGCGCGATGGTTTCTTTGCTATATTTTGTCGGTTCAAAATGAACATTCGACTTTTGCTGTATCAATGACAATACTTTTTCTTATCAACTATTCGTCTATGTAGGTTTTCTTCGGCGACGACTTTGTGAAGTCTTTCAGAAAGCTGATGTCACTTAGGACCAAGATGTCAATCATGAACCTCTTATCAAAACTTGCTGGTGGCTGGAGACCTGAGAAGAGCAATGTGGGTTTACTCCCTCAAAGCTGTTCTAATATGGTGAATCAATTCGAGGTGGAAGGTCTCTACATGTTGTGCACTGTCGATATACTAAAGGCACTGAGATCCATCCAGATCCTGAAGATTTGGGATGTACTGCCCTTAATGGATGCGACGAGACTGGTTGAACGTCTCAACAGCGAGTTCAAAGCATATGCAGACGATTTCATTAGTTGCTGCAATGAGAAATGTCTTGAGGGGTAAGTCTCATCCTTTTTTACCCTAACTTCAGATTGAGGACTTATCAATAGTCGATATGATTCCCTTTCTGTGATAAATAACCGGAAGAACTGCCTTGAATTGATTTTTTTCCGAACTACTATCTTATTTGCGCACGGATCTTCCGTCGTGTAGGGATCAAATAGTTCCAAAGACATGGGAGCCTTCCTGCGGTATTGCTCGTTTCCGTAGTCCGGATCAAGTTCAAGCAGGGAGCGGTTTCGGGGCAGATATTTCGAATCCGGGGGCGAGCGAGAGCCTGCTTTCAATGAGATTCCACCCCTCATCATCAGTTGTGGTCAGGCACTTGTTTTCGGTGGACCCCGATAGCGAAGCGAATCTTGAATCTGAAGTAACCGAGCTAGATCAAGAGATGAATTCCCGCTTCGGTGGGCTTCATATTTGAGCAAACCCATATTGTTCCCCTCTTCACGAGCAGCATTTGACAGAATCAGCAGGGGAAAGAGTTGATTGATGATGGGTCTATCAGGATTGAAAACACAATTTCTTTACAAGGAATTTCCGTGCCCATGGCGGGTATTATCGAGTAGGCGTGGACCTTCTTCACTATTTATCTTCTGCTGGTTTTATGTCTCTATGTATTTGGTTGAATTAACGGCACAGAACTTTCGGTTAAGGACTAGGATTGCTTTTATACTAAGGATGTTGATTGCTGCCTTTGCATGCATGCTATACTTTGTGCGGGTGACACACGATATAGCCTTGATCCTCACCAATTCCGTGCACTTTCTAATAGGGATGAAGGGACTCTTGAGATGATTCTTGCAATTTTTTTTTCGATTTTAATTTCAATTCCGTGCACTTTTTTTTCCGTTACTTGTTTGTCTCTAGTTTGTGAATTCGAGTATAAGATTACATACCTAACTCTGTCCAACAGTAACATAAACAGCGAAATCCTCATCTAAAGCCAGCGCGATTCGAGATTCGAGATATCCATAATTTGGCTCTGCTCCTAAGTCATCTCGTTTACCCTTGAGGCAGAAACGAACAATAACTGCACAGAGCACGAACAGTCGTTGCCATCGTACAATTTACCGGATGCAACGAAACGAACACCATTTGCGCCTCGCCTTTCTCGAGCGATCGATGACACGAGAAGCGCAAAGTCGTTTTGGTTTCCCTTCGCCGAAACCTCCGGAGCAAGAGATCCATGGAGCTAGAAAGCTGAGCGGAGGAACTCTGAATCACTCGCAAATCCAGAGATGAATCACTCTGGTGAGGGCCCGCCTTGCCTGTGCCTGGCGAGGGCCGCGTAGGCTAGGCCAGCCTTTGCTTGTGGCTTTCGAGGGCGGCGTTGCCCGACCCTCTCCAGATATCGCCGATGGCCAGCTATTGCAAGGAAAATTTTTTTTTTAAAAAAAGTGAAGGATAAAAGTGCCCTTAACCAGCCGATGAGGTCAGGCCATTCTTGAAGACCGACATGACTACTTCGGGCCCTTATTTGAAACAAGAATCATTTTAGATCATTATTTGAAATTTTCCCTTATTTTTATGATTAGTATTTCGTTTTTTAAATCACGAGTCAATGTTAACTTATTTGGTTCCGCTATTAGGCTCTTGGCTATTGGTGAACTAAGAAGCGGTGAACGTTGACCAGAATCTCAAATGTATTGGAGGTGCAGTTGACTAGAGCACTTCTCAAACTATTTCTTTTTCAAATATTCCATATTGATTAGTGCAAATGATGGGAAATGACTTACACTTTTATCTCGTTATGCTATAAGCAAAATTGTAACTTGACTGATGATATTCCTATAGGTCTTTCGACAAATTTTTGAGTGAAATCTTCTCGGCTAGAATTACTATGTAATCCCAAAAGTCTCTAATAATTTAGATTTCAAATCTCTTTACGTAACAACCATTAGACGTGATTGCGAAAATTACTTGAACCCTCTTAATATTTCCTTTCATTTGAAAGTTCGATCTTACTTACAATGCTCAGCATTTATTATGGGGTGTGTAAAGGGGCCAAAAAGCCCGAACAGCTATGCGATAGTACTCTTCGACGCACGAATACCCACTTGATCGCCGAAAGGCTAAAACGTGAGGGACTGATTTTACCAAAGGTTGGAACCCTATTAAGTGCAAATATTTGTCTCGCAAAGCAAGTTGGCCAACCAATCGACACAAACATGTACTACCATCCCTATAAACATGTACAAAGACAATTTATCCGTCGTCACATGTAAGTGTGAAAAAATAAGGGGGGACTATGGTTTTAGGTCCTCATCGAATAATCTTGGTACTCGTGTGCTAATCGCGACCGAATCTCATTTCTAATTTTCATAACCAGTCATGAGATCAGGGCGCATGTACACATGTGTGGTCATTTGAAATAGAAATTCTTGTTAATCTTAATCCAAATTCCTAACATGCATGACCCTAATTACGTCAGGCCAGGAAAAACAGCGCGTGTGTTTATGGTACACGCAAGAAACCTCGGCATGCAGGAAAGCTTTACCCAAAGTAACTTTTCTTTGTCGGTCTAAGGCATATAGCTACTTCGCTTTGCGAAAGGCGCGGAACCATGAAATAGCTTGTCTTGCAAAGCCACATAGATTGTGCAAAAAATTTGGAAAAATTACCTAATCAGTCTTAAACCCGTTACACAGATGTCAATTCAATCCTAAATTTTTACGCAAAATTCCATCATAATTCTTTTGGTAAATGTTCGTCAGAAGGATTGCATTGAAATTTTGCGAAACACTAAATTAACAATATTTGAAAAGTTTAGGACTAAAGTGATATTCGTATAATAAATTTAAGATTGAGCGAGTAATTTTTTTCTTGTAAAGTTTTGGCGAAAGCGGATCAAATAGTGTTGGGGAATACGACAAGACTCATAGAAGACTTTTCAAGTGCCATGGTCTTCCTTTTCTCGCCCCTCTTCCTTGACCCGAGGTCTCAAATAACCATTGTTTTATTTTTCAAATCCCCAGTGATTGTTCACTCATAGGGCTCCCGCTGTACGGCTCTTGGCCTTTAGCAGACTAGAAAGGTAACTGTCGAAGAACAATGTTGAAATCCATTGGAAGGTGGCGGGGTTGGAAGAGAACGATGGACGCGTTAGGTTCACCCACTTTCTTTTTCTCCGACCCCCCAAAAAACAACTATTTCTTTTTCAAAAATTCAACATTGATGAGCGCAAGTGATGGGAAACGAATTATATTTCTTTCTTATTTGGTCAGATTTACCTCACCAATGACGGATGTTTTCGTCTGAATAGGCTATAACGCTTTGTTTAACGATCCGACGACCGGTCTATCTATCCATCTCCTGTCCCTCCCAAAATATTTTTTTCTTCCAATGGGAGAGCAGGAATATCCCCTTTTGGTGTTTTACGTCCCTAAAAGTCTATGGGAGAGACATTAGAGATATGGCCTTTTAAGGACCGGCTCAGGTAATCAAAATCGTACATATAATCAAAATTATATGTAACGTGAAAATTATATGTAACGGATTAGGATGGCCCTTACCAGCTATTATTATCCATTATTTAATTCCGTGACCTTACATGATTTGAACTAATTTGCAGAAAACGCCATTGCCTGTTCGAGTTCCGGTGATGGTGAGAGACCATTGTAATTGGAGATCGATTTTATATTTTATCTTTTTGAGAGCTTTGATTATAGGAGGAGCTGGTCAAGAATGTAGGATGACCAATTGGAATATTATACTTCTACTTAATATAGCAAGTTAGCAATAGGTTCCTGCCGAGAACCTTCCTTTTGGAAACTTGTTCCCTTCGTTTTTTCTGTTTTTTTGGGCCAACGTTTGAGAAGTTGGTATTGACTCTTCTAAATTTCCGCGAGGCACTGGAAAATCGAGAACTACTATTGAAAAAGTGATCACATTTGATTTTCACGCTCGTTTGATTTTCAATGGGTCCTCGTGCACTTTCTGGGACAGATGAAATGGATCCTCGGGCACTTCCAGACTCACTTGATCCTCAAAGCACCGACGACTTACGTGTGTATGAAATCTGATCGAGATCCTAATCTCCTTGTCGCGTATGAATTTTTGGCACATTCGCGAGATCTCGACCATTAGCAATCGACACGGGTCGAGATCTAATAAGAGAGAATAGAGGTTCCCCATCCACGTCATGCCAATATAATCAAAATCGTAGCGTGAAAGACAGCTGTACTATAATCAAAATTGTAACGTGAAAAACAGTAATCTCTTGTAATTTTTTTTATTGAAAATCTTACCAGCTAGGATGACTATATAACCCCACAAGTCTAGAGAAAAATCGAACTTCAAATCTCTCTATGTAACACCAATTAGACCCGGTTGCCAAAAATTATCTGGGCACTCTAAAAAAATTCGCTTTCATTCAATACACTCAAAAGTTTAATTTTACATACGATACCGAGTATTTATTTTGGAGTATTTAAAGACGGCCGCAAGGCCCAGATAACCATACACAACAGCACTCTTCAGCGGTTCGATGCACGAACACCCCCTCGATCGCCTAATTAAGGAGGCAATGATTTTGGGTCCCTCTCGAGGGATTTCAGTACTCATGTACCTCAAACACAACCCATTCTTTAATATCCAGACGCGTGTGTACGCACCTGTGGTCATTCAAATTAGAAGAAGCAACGCGGGTCTCTCGATCCAAGCTCCAAACATGTCGGACACCAGACATTCCAGACGAGGAAAGACAGTGTGTACGTTAACAGTGATGAAAGCTTAGCATGCAAGAAAGCTTTAACCCAAGCAAACCATTGTTCGTAGGTTTGAGGCGTGCATCTTACCTTTTTCGTTCTTCTTGGGTCGGAAAGGCATCCATCTTGCTTTGATTCGGAGTAAGTGGTGGACCATGGGAAAAGCCTCCATTTCATTGCGAAGCCACATGCATCGTGAGAAAAAAGCTTAGCATGTAAAGTTCTGGTGAAATGGGATCAAATACTGTACGGAAGTCGAGGAGACCAAGACTTTTCACGAGTCATCATCAGTTTCATTTCTCTCCCCCACTTTTCACACCGCCCGCGGTCGCTCGCCGATCCTCTCTTTTAAATGCTCGTCTCGGACGGGATTGATTCACAGGTGTTAAAAAGCTGCTCGTTTCTTCGTACTTGCTCTCTCAATCACTCGTTGCTTGAAATTCTCGGACACATTCGTCCTCTTCGACGGGAAAGTAAGAGGGTGTGGGACTGGCCATGGACTCTAGAAAAGGTGCGAAGGCTGGTTCGAAAGGCAAGCCCAGGGACCTGATTGATATTATCTTCTCTTGGTCTCTTCAAGAGATCTTCAATAACAATCTCTACGGGGACAAGGTTCTCTTTTCTTAGTCTCTTTCCTTTTTTTTTTTCCCTGTTTTTTGGGCTATGTTTGTTGTCCTGATCATGCTTCCGTAGTACTATCATCAGTATAAGTTTAATGCATATTAGCTCGAAAATGTTCTGAATGATGTTAGTTCCTTGCTCTTTTGCAATGTTTCGTTTGTGAGCCTTGCTATGTGAAGTTGGACTGTTGTATAGTGCGGAAGGACCTTGCTCTCTGTCTCTATGAGGCGAAGTTATTAGGTGTTGGGGGGAATATTTGCTCTTTTAATATGCTAGATGATGTCCTATCTGTGATATGACAGAGGACAGAGTCGCTCGATCTATCAAGTGAAGTTGGTTGGTCATGTTTGATTTTCGATACACCGGTTTTGTAGGTGGAGACCATCCCGGGGTCATTTCAATCAGTTGAGCAATACCTTGCTTCTTATACCTTTCCTTTGCTTGAGGAAACACGAGCCAGTCTCTGTTCAAGTATGCAGGATGTATCTAAGCTGCCTTTCACGAAAGTCACTGGGTTTGTTAAAGGCAAGAAGAATGCTTACCATGTGGAAGTGGATTCCTGGAAAAACAGGTCCACTGACCGTGGCAAGGAACCTTACAAAACTTTGCCTGGGGATGTTTTGATGTTAACTAATGCTAAACCGGATACCATTCCCAGCTTAGAAAGGTTTGCAGGAAGATGGGCATTTGCATCGGTCGCTGAAATTGCAGGAGATGCTGACGGAAATGCTCAAACATCAACAAAGTTCAGAGTCAATGCATTTTTGGACAATGAAGTGAATGATCATCGTACCTGGGAGTCAATGTATGCAGTTTTTTTGATAAATGCAGTCACGAACAATAGGATATGGAATGTGCTATACAGATTTGGGAACTCGAAAGTTGTAAGGGAAGTTCTCTGTACGGATTTGGCGGTAAGGACTTTGTTTTTCGTACTTATTATCTCCATACGGTCTACGGTAAACATAGTATTGCAGCAACAAAACTTCATTGATTATAAAAAAAAAACTGTCATTCTCATTCGAGTTAGCTTGTTATTTCTCCAAACATAGTATTGCCCTGAGTCTCGCATTCACATAAATTTCAATGCTGCAGTAGTATGACCAAGATTTAGAGATAGACCTTGTTTATCCATCTTAAGATCCTTTGTGCTCAATATTAGTGCAGGTTGTGCTAGGATAGAACATAATCAAAAAAATTTTCACAGTTTCTAAGTTTTACTTAGGTTATTTGGGAGTGAATTTTCAAAAGAGTATGTGTTTGTTTGCAGGCTGAGAAAGATTGCAATCTCTGCATTACTCAAAGTCATGACTCTGGGCATGAGAGTCTCGATAAGAACTTGTTTGGTAGTCTGAATGAATCCCAGGCAAAAGCTGTTCTATCTTGTCTTGATACAATCAAGTGTCAGCACAGGTTGGCCATGGAAATGATACAGGGTCCTCCAGGGACAGGGAAGACCAAAACTGTCGCGGCACTGCTCTTTACTCTCTTGAAAAGGAAACACAGAACCCTTGTTTGTGCTCCAACAAATGTTGCCATCAAGGAATTGGCATCTCGTGTTTTGCAGCTGGTGAAACAATCGGTTTCCACAAACTCTCACGGGGAACGCTTGCCCTATAACGTAGGAGACATGCTATGTTTTGGGAACAAGGATCGGATGAAAGTAAATTCAGATATGGAGGAAATATTCTTGGATCATCGCGTTGATTGTGTTGTGCAGTGCTTTTCTGCACTCACTGGTCGGCAGCATTGTCTACCTTCCATGATTGATACTCTCAATGACTGTGTCCGCCAATACCACATTTTTCTGGAGAATGAACGCCAGATTATATCAAAGCCTGATGGTAATGATGTTGCAAGCAAACGTAGGAGCGGCAAAAAGGAATCCAAACCTAAATTTAAATCATTTCTGGAATTTTTCAAGCACAGATTCAAGTCAAGCGCAGATTCTCTTCGAAGATGCCTCTCTATCATATGCACCCATATATCCAAAAGTTACCTTTTGGATCATAATTTCCGTTATATTAATTCCCTTCTCATCTTACTCGATTCTTTTGAAGTTTCACTATGTAGAGAGAAGTTGGATTCTAGAAAGTTGGAGGAAGCATTTTCAATGGACCCATCTTCATTAAAAACTCTCACAGATCCACTATATACAGCATTATTGATGAAGAGACGTGAATGCCTCTCTGTTTTGCGGACTCTTGACAAATCTCTTAGAAAGCTAAACCTTGCAAAATTTACGTGTAAGAGCAAGATAGCTGAGATCTGTTATCAAGCGGCTTCCTTGATTTTCTGCACTGCCTCCAGCTCATATAAGCTCTACTCCATGGGAATGAAGCCTGTCAGTTTATTGGTGATTGATGAGGCTGCGCAGTTGAAAGAATGCGAATCAATGATTCCACTACAACTTCGCGGTGTCAGGCATGCAATTTTAGTTGGAGATGAATGTCAGTTGCCTGCAATGGTTGAGAGCAAGGTATGTCATCGCTGAATATTGGACTAGCAACGTGCACAATCATACATAAACATGATGATTTTGTGCTTAATTGACCTTTACGTTTGTGCATGTTTTTATTTCTACAGCTTTCTAGCAAGGCTGGCTTTGGAAGGAGTCTATTTGAAAGGTTGGTTTCTCTGGGTCGTCCGAGGCACCTTCTCGATATCCAGTACAGAATGCATCCTGCGATAAGTCGATTTCCAACATCAACCTTTTACAAAAATCAAATTCGAAATGGGCCGAATGTTACCAGCGAAAGCTACGAAAAATGTTATTTGCCGTCGCCGATGTTTGGCCCCTACTCCTTCATAAATATTTCTAATGGAAGCGAAGAAGGTGGGGATGATGGACATAGCCTTAGAAACCATGTTGAGGTAGGAGTCGTCTCGATGATTTTGAGGAATCTATACGGAGGTAAGCCATGAAAGAATTTCACCAGATTATTTCATTTTCTGCCAAATAGTATGAATTAATGCAAATAACTACTTTGTCTTTGCACATGTTTGGTTATACATGTAGATGCACCTTTTGCTGTACTGTTGTAGAGCATTGGCGGGCAGTTGTTGACTGCGGAAGCCGCAGGAGAAAAATATTTCTGCTCAATCTTACAATGAAGTCCATTTAGTTTCTTGGGATGTTGGGAGAGATTTGCATAGCTTTACATGCTTTTTGACACTAGAGATGATGTGCGTTCTTGTCATTTAGGTTATTAACTTAGCCTTACAGGACACATAAGACAGTAATCGGAGGTGTACAGAACACTTTCACGCTAGTGTGGTCGTAACTTCTCCCTCATCTAATTATATCGTCTTGGTTTTTCTGCAGCATGCAAATCTTCAGGCGAAGATCTAAGTGTTGGCGTGATATCTCCATATAGTGCTCAGGTTGCTGCAATACAAAAGAATATTGGCAAAAGATATGAAAATATCAAAGGCTTTACAGCGAAAGTGAGGTCAGTGGATGGGTTCCAAGGGGGTGAAGAAGACATCATAATAGTATCCACCGTGAGGTCAAACCCTCGTGGTTTTATTGGGTTCGTTTCTGATACTAAGAGAACCAATGTCACTATCACCAGGGCAAGGTAGTCTCTTCTATTCCTTCTTAACCGGGGCAATTTGACTTTCGCCGTAAGATGTCAGATACCAACAATCCATGCTTTTTGCTGCCTCTATGTAGATACTCTCTTTGGATTTTGGGAAACGAGAGAACGCTGACGAGAAGTAAATCTGTATGGGGAGCATTGGTTCATGATGCTAAGAGCCGTGGATGTTTCTTCAGCATAGATGATGTTAAAGCCGCTTTGGATGGGAAGAATAATCAGCTTGATGATCCGGTCAACCAAAGTAGTGTACTATCTAGAAATACGCGGCGGAGGGCCAAGTGCTCTAGTGATGGTAAGAGCCGACAATGTTCCTCCAGTACTGATGAAGTTAAAGCCATTTTGGATGGGAAGAATAATCAGCTTGATGATCCGGTCGCTGGAAGTAGTGTACTATCTAGAAATGCACGGCGGAGGGCAAAGCGCTTTAGTGATGCTAAGAGCCGAGAATGTTCATCCAGTACCGTTGAAGTTAAAGCCATTTTGGATGGGAAGAATAATCAGCTTGATGATCCGGTCGATGGAAGTAGTCTACTATCTAGAAATGCGTGGGCGAGGGCCGAGTGCTTTAGTGATGCTAAGAGCCAACAATGTTGCTCCAGTACGGATGAAGTTAAAGCCATTTTGGATGGGAAGAATAATCAGCTTGATGATCCGGTCGATGGAAGTTGTCTACTATCTAGAAATGCGTGGGCGAGGGCCAGGTGCATTAGTGATGCTAAGAGCCAACAATGTTCCTCCAGTACTGACGGAGTTCAAGCCATTTTGGATGGGAAGAAAGAGAATATTCGGCTCGATGATCCGCTTGGTGGAAATAGTGACCTGTTTAGAAATGCTCGGTGGAGGGTAAAGCACTTTGCAGATGGTTTCCTTTTCTTTGAAAATGGACATTCGGCTTTTGCAGAATCAATGACATTACGTTTTCTTGTCAACTATTTTGTCTATGCAGGTTTTCTTCGGGGACAACTTTGTGAAGTCTTTCAGAAAGCTGACGTCACATAGGACCAAGATGTCAATCATGAACCTCATATCAAAACTTGCCAGTGGCTGGAGACCTAAGAAGAGCGATGTGGGTTTACTCCCTAAAAGCTCTTCTCCTATGGTGAAGCAATTCGAGGTTGAAGGTCTCTACGTGCTGTGCACTGTCGATATACTTAAGGAACTTAGATACATTCAAATCTTGAAGATTTGGGATGTATTGCCCTTAAGGGATGCGATGATTGTGGTGGAACATCTCGACAGTGAGTTCAAAGAATATGCGGACGATTTCATTAGTCGCTGCAACGAGAAATGTCTTGAGGGGTAAGTCTCATCTTTTTTTACTAACTTTTCATCGAAGGCTTATCAATAGTCCGTAAGATTCACTTCCCTGGATAAATGACCGCAAGAGCTGACTTGAATTGATGTTTTTCGAACTACTATCTTTTATGAGCACATATCTTCTGTTGTATAGGGATCAGGAAGTTCCAAAGACATGGGATTGTCCTCATGGCATTGCTTGTTTCCGTAGTCCGGATCATGTTCAAGCTGGAAGCAGTTTCGGCGCCATTACTTCAAATCTGGGAGGGAGAGAGAGCCTGCTTTCAATGAGATTCCACCCCTCATCATCAGGTGTAGTCAGTAACTTGTTGTCGGAGGACCACGATAACGAATTGAATCTCCCATCTGAAGTAACCGAACTAGATCAAGAGAAGAATTTCCTGCGCTTGTTATCGGAGGACCACGATAGCGAATTGAATCATGCATCTGAAGTAACCGAGCCAGATCAAGAGAAGAATTCCGTGAAATCTCTCTTCGGTGGGCTTCTGAGTTCCCTCTTCAGAGGGTTTCGTATTTGAGTCACACATGCTGTTCCTTCTTCACAGGGAGCTTTTGACAGAATCAGAGGGGGAGGAGTTGATTGATGCTTGTATCAGGAAGGAAAATGCCATTTCTTTGCAATGAACTTTTCGTTCGGCCGGAATTTCTGTGCCCATGTGTTACGCCCCGTACCCCACGAAGCGCGATCATCTCACCTAAGGTCGTGATGGTGCGACGTCCCCAGGTTACGTCACCGACTCAGCATGCAATGCACAGAGACCAATGCACATGCGGAAGCAACGTATATATATATTATATATACACCCGTACAATAAACAAGACAACCAAGGATAGCGCAGCACTTGAATTTAGCAGGAATAAAAACATTTTACATTACTGCAGAAATTTATACAATATCCATCATAAGAAAAGCAACTAGAAGACAAACTGAGCAATGGCCATTGAACAAAAAGGATGGCGGCCCGGGGATACTAAACTACGGCGGGGCTTGGTCAAAAAGGTATGACATGTATAGACATAGTCTTCTCGATGAACTGGGGAATCCCAAAACGGATTGGCGCCTCTGCCATCCTCACTGCCGGGGATTTGAAAAGCCGGTTTCCAACAACCGTAAGACGAATCTCATCAAGTAAATAATCCCTAAACCTAAACTATGCTAACATGCACCTCCTGACAGGTAAATTAAACACACCAAGTAGTGTACCATTAAATCACCATAAATTCCTAGGCCCGCGGCCCAAATCGTTTATATCACAGCCCTGCAAGTTAGGCATTTATCAACAATAATCACGTGCAAACTGTTGAATACGCACACAAATAACGTTCTCGGCACACGATTGCCATTTTCATGAATAACACGATTATTCCGACTCGAAGGCCAATAGATATCCCGACCCGAAGGCCACTTTCAGCAATAAATCGACTCGTAGGCCCGACCCGAAAGCCACAGTTTATTCTGACCCGAAGGCCCGACCCGAAGGCCACAATTTATACATATCCGGCACATATATCAATTCACTCCATTCTAGCCGTATCAAAGCATAACATGCGAGATCACGTATAACGGGATCCAAGTCGAACATGAATGTCATTATGTGCCCAAAATCACTCACAATTCAATCAATACAAAGTATTATCGGCACTCCCAATTAATCCCATTCTAGCCCAATTAATCCGGCACTTATTCCACGCATTTCTTCCAATTCAATTCAATGCGTCTAAGGCCCGCCATGACCAATCGAACTTAGCCATTCAATCCTCGAACATGGCGTCACCAATAGGATTCCAACAAGTCCTAACTAGCCCCCTAAAATGCCTAATTTCAAGCCCTCACTTAATGAACCATTTAATACACAACTTAGACAAAAATCACAATTTCGGTTCTGTGTGAACAGTACCAGGGCAGGACATGATTTGGCCACTAAACCACCTCTAAATCACTTCATTAAGCTCTAATTAAACCCCCTAATCAGCCTACACGCAAATACACATAATTAGACCATAATTAAGCTTAATTAACCCCTAATTTACCCCTAAAAGTGCAATTAAACTAATTCGGGGTTTAGGGAGTTATACTCGCCTAATCGACTCGAGTCGATGGAAACGGGCGGCCAATCACCGACACGCGGTGAGATAGGCGGGCGGCGTTCCGGGGAACAAGCCGGCGGCGTACGGACGGCGACGGCGGATGGCAGTGTCCGGCGGTGTCCCTCACGGCCGGGGCTGATCAGCGGTCTAAGGGGGGAGAGAAAGAGAGAACGAGGGTGTGAGGGTGGCTGGGACGGTGAGGCGAGGTGGCTCGGCTGCCGGTGCGGCTCCGGCGAGCGGCGGCGAGCTCTGGCGGACGGCCTTCACGGTGGCAACGAAGGAAACGGAGGAGGGGGGGAAACGGCTGAGGAGGAGGACGAACGAGGAGGAAATGGCCAGAAGAGAGAGAGAGAGAGAGTGGTCAAATGGGTCAAAGTTGGACTAGTAGGTGCCAAGTGTCACAATCCTAGGGGCTCGAACCATTTTACCCTTGATCCCATGGCTTAAATTAATCCTCATCCAATAATTGAGGGGTAAAATGGTAAATGGGCCAATAATTGAGCTGATCCAATATTTAAAATAATTTCCTTAATTTCTGAAATTTTCGGAATTAAATTTGGCCTAGGGGCAAAACGGTCATTTTTCCGGTCCCGGGTCGAAATTCCAATTTTTGGCTATACCAACCCCAAATGGATGTGGCCAATATAATATGGCGTCAAAATAGCCTCTTAAGCCCTCAAAAATCGACTGCCGAGTTTTGGGAATAAAATAATATTATTTTTCACTTCCGAGCCAAAATTTCAATTTTTGACCGAAACAACTCTAAATGTGCGTGGCCACCCCAAAATGATATCGACTTCGAAAAATAACCTCATACGGCCTCAAAATCCAAGTCGGTGACCAGAGGGGCAAAATCGTAATTTTTCACCCCCGGACCGAAATTTCAATTTTCAACCGTAGTAACTCCAAATATGTGTGGCCAGCATAATATGACGTCAGATTCTCAAAAATAGTCTCTTAAGCCGTCGAAAATCGATATCGAAATCTGGGCCCAATTTCATGATCAAAACTCGCTCGATTTCCAATTTTAGGGTCTCTTACTAACGGGCGGCTGTTTAGAGCATACACGCATTGACCTAGGGTTATCCGAGTCACGACAATCCCGATCATTGAGAGAATGAGAAATTATTACTAGTCCCAGAAGTTACGATCGTTCGGTTCAGTTCAAGACTGGTTGGCCACGTGCACTTTCGGTCTTGCAGAATCACCTGCAATCCAATTGTACATCGTTGGCCTTGGCCAAACCCAATCCATCGCTTTTCCTAAGATCGGCCCACGTCGGTCCAAAATATTCTCTCCTTATTTCTCGTGATCGGTATCCGATTCGCGATCGGGTCCCTGATCCATGTACCGTTTCCTATTTAGCCATATCCTATTGGTTAGTACCCTAAGAGTGATCAGCTCTGGGCGAGACTTACTATAATGAAATGCGAAATAATATCAATTTTATTGGTCCCGAAATTACATCGAAATTCAGGCTGTTACACCATGCCTGGTATCTTCGAGTAGGCATGGAACTTGTCAACTATGTATCTTCTGCTGGTTTTGTGTATAGTTGGTTGATTAATTCGCACAGAAGTTTGGATCAGGTGTCCACAGCTACGAAGTGACAATTCTTCTCCAGACATGACTAAGATTGCCTTCATACTTGGGATGTCGCTTTCTGTCTTTGCATGCTATACTTTGTGCAGGGTCGCGCACAAGAATGTAAATGACTTTCTTTGATAATTTTTGCGTTATAATGACATAAAACGAATGATTTTTGCTATGGGGACGAGGTGAGAGGTGACGTGGCGGATGTGAGCCTGGATCCTCATCATTACAAATTCCAGTTCAGCATTCATTAAAACGAATGGTAGATGTGAGAATTTCTTGTGATTTCTCTTTTCAGCTCGTTTTCTGTTCTCGGCTTCCTAGGGACTTTAAGGGCGTGAATGAAAATATTTCTCTTCTCCGGCCCTATTTCTGGCTAAAAATTGAAAAATTTATTTCTCTTTCCGAACGAGTTTCCGAGTAATAAGTAGTATTTGATAATGACACAATTTTTTTTCCCGGAATAGAAATTCATTTGATAACAACGCAAAATTTCTATTTTCGCCAACCGGTGAGCGGCTATGGTGGCAGGCGGTTGGCGAGTGACGACAGAAACAGGTGATGGCGAGGGGCGGCGAGTGGCGACAACGGTCGGCCAGCAAGCGGCTGTAGCGGTGGCAGGTGGCCGGCCGGCAAGCGACGGCAGCAATGAACGGCCTGCCGATGAGCAACGGTAGATGGGCTGGCTGCCAGCGGCAAGTGAGAGGCGGTGGGCGGCAAGGGTGAGCAATAAAAAAGAGTTGTTATTTCTGTTTCTATTTTAGAAATAGAAAAGTAAAAAATTTAACTTCTCATTTCTGTTTCAAATTTATTTCTAAGTCAAAATTTGTCTCAAAAATAAAAAAAATGAAATTATTTTACCAAACGGATTTCTGTTCCAAATCTATTCCTGAGAACAAAAAAATAGAAAAACAGAGAAATAGAATAGTTATCATTTGCACCCTAAAAAAACGGATTCTTGCATTTTTCTTGATTTTGATTTCAATCCCTTTGCACTTTTTTTTCTTTCTTATTTCTTCTTGTCTCTAGCGTGTGAATTCAAATATAAGATTACACATCTATCTTTGAAGTCTGTCATTTTGTTTGGCAACATTTATCCCAACCTTTAGCTCAAATAAACCCCACAGAGTTTACCTACAGGATGGCAACTACGGCTTCTAATATTCATTTAAAGGTTAATACCACGAAAAACTCCAAACTGATATATTTGTGACAAATTTACTCCAAATAACCCCAAAATGGTATATCTGTGACAAATTTACCTTATGTTAGTTTCCGTTAAATTTTACCAACAAATGACTTAATTGGATGATACATGGCAATGCATAACAATTTGGAGTTTTACCTCTTTATTTGTCACAAGTTTATTAATTTGTGATTTTTTGTGGTGTTAATCCAACATAATGAAAGGTAAATTTGTCACAAGTATACTAGTTTAGAGTTTTTGGTGATAAAAAAATTAGCTGGGGGTAAATTTGTCACAAGTGTACCGATTTGGGATTTGGTATTAACCCTTCCCTTAAATTGATCAATTTACTATTTATGGAACATATTCCAAATACGATTGCTCAACCAACCCTTTTATTTACAACATCAAAGTCCAACTCCAAATTAGTTTTCCACTATGAGGAGGGGCGAGGAGTTGATTGTAACAGCCCGAATTTCGATGTAGTTCCGGGATCAATAAAATTGACAATATTTCGCATTTCATTTTAGTAAGTCTCGCCCAGAGCTGATCACTCTCGGGATACTAACCAATAGGGTATGGCTAATTAGAAAGCGGTACGTGAACCAAGGATCCGATCGCGAAGCGGACACCGATCACGAGAAATGATGAGAAAATATTATAAACCAATGTGGATCGATCTTAGGAAAAGTAACGGATTTGGTTTGGCCAAGGCCAACGATGTACAATCGGATCGCA